TACATGTACTACTCACTGCTAAAGGTCTCATCAGCGTCGTTGAAATACATCAAAGAGGCTGTCAACGTAGCTTGACAAATGCTACATTATGAACCACATCTAGTTGATGGGGACTGAATACTTGACTGGCCGTGGATTGTTACTCTATTTTCATGCATTCACCATCGCTGATCCTCGTTGCACGCAAAGCCTCAACGATACTGTGATGAGCCACCAAATCTATCGTTGGTTTCAATGATACAACTTGCAGTTGATAGCTAACATCGGTAACCAGTCCGGTGATGTTGCCGACCACTACTGGGCCATTCGTGCCTCCAGTCTCCAGAACTCGATCTGCAGTCACCTCAATACCGCTCATTTTTCTTCCTTCTTTTCCTTATTTTTTTTTGCATAGGCCAATGTAACCCCTTTCCACTACTTGAAGCGATTTTATAGGGCGTCAATACCACCAGTCTGCCGCTCATAAATGGTGACTAGTCCTACTAACCTTGAGCAATCTGGCAGACGGAATAGTTTCAAGTCATAGCAGCCACCTAGGCCTTGGCAGCCTCCCTCTCGCGCTGCTCCATAAAGCTCAGGCCCGGAATATCCGCACCATGGTGTCGTCCAAACTCCTCCTGCCCGTCCCTCTTGTCGATGCGCGTACCATGGTCAATGGGTGCAGGACCATCAAACGCCATGACGGCGGCACTCAAGGCAGTAATAATGACAGCAACCTTCATACTGTGCGTGGTCGTCGGATATATTCAAATTTTTGATTGAATTTTAAAGAAAAATTGGTGAGTGAAGAGAAAGTGCATTGGGATATGGGCGATGGGGGCAACTGGGCTATCCTTGTATCCCTACGGCGCCCAACAGCGAAATGAAGCAACCGAGACATTATTCATTTCAGGGCGAGAGGAGCCAAAGAGATGTCTGACCTGGATGTCTGATCATCTATTTTTGAATGCCGTCCACCCAATTGCGAACTGCGTAGGACGGGTGATTCAGAATTTCAGGTTGGCCTGGGGTGGGGTGTGAGCATTTGTTTGCCATTCATTGTCACCTCAATTAAGCAGGGCTGCATGAGACGACTCGAGTTGTGTGAGACGAGAAAGGCTAGACCATGGAGGTTGCTTGGTGGGCGTTGACGATGGGTGATGGGCTGTACCAGAAACCATTCAGCCTCTTGTCGTAATAAAGATATCGACTTCGAGCGGATGACATATCTATCTTCACCTACATCTTCACCTAGATTTGACGTTGATGCCCCCGGCTGTGTGCAGTCACCATCAACCCCACAAAGTGCCCACCCCGGCGAATGGGTTTCAGCGAATGGGTCCCAGTGGCTACAACGGGGTCATCTCAACGGGGTCCATTTCAACGGGGACGTCATGGCATGACGGCCACGACCCCGATCACCAGCGCAAAGCAGAAAAGACGACGAAACCATCGGCTCGATCTGTATTCCCCAGTCACGCATCGAAACAAGAGAGCCAATCGACGCCTCTGGTCGACACTGCAGGTCCCCACACGTCCCTGACCTTTCGTCGTGGCATACTCCGTAAACTGACAAGACTCGGCCCATCAACGCTTCACCTTTTGCCTGGGATGTGGAAGACCATCCATCAGGCCAATAACCATGACCGTAAAATCATCCAAGGCCAATGACGCTGACAAACTCACCCAACCTGCCCGTGGAACGTCGCGATCCAAGCACACCACTGCAACAGCTGATCGGGAGACGAGCCAAAAAAAAGGAGGGGCCCTGATGTGACGTACAAAATCCCATTCGATACTTTCCTGCTGTGGCTTCACCATCGACACAGTGTCATTGGACCAGTCCGCCGCTTTCGAGTCGCACTTCCCCCTCCCTTTCACTAAGAGCTCGACCTCTGTCTGACCTTTGACTCTGGACGAGACCTATTGTAGATTCCCGAAATGCTATCTGCTCCGCTTTTCGAAGAGTCGTGGTGCCTCCCCCCTTCGTTGGCCAGGAGCTTGCCCTCTGCCTGTTGATGCCATTGAATTGTATTAAAAGGGCAGCTTGACCCCTCATTGCCTTTGAATCATCCGACTCTGCCGTGTCTCGCGTCTCTTGCTTCCCTACCAGCTTAAACCCATTTGCCATCAACCAAACAAGAACCTATTCTTCATTTGCCATTCACAAGAGGTGAAATTCCTTGGCCATCATGAGCGAACCAAAACAGACTCCCCCTACTACCACCAGCGGTAACGCTCCGCGCCGACGAGTAAGTCACATCAGAGGGAGGGCACCTGTGCATTCGATCCTCTCTCGCAGCTCGCCCGAGCTTTGCTGTTTCTGTTTCTTTCTCCCCTCCGTCTCTATTTCTTTTTCTGTTCCGCCACCGGCGTACTAACACGTCACAGAGCTCCGGCTGGATGCCCGCATTCGAGTCTCTCCAGCAGCAGAAGAATAACCAGGATGCTGCTCGTCGCCAGAGCATGTCCGATCAGCAGGCCAAGGGCGGCATCTTTAGCCAGTTTTTCCACAAGTATGTCCATCGCCCTTTTTTGATTCGCCCGCTGTCCCCTGTTTCTTGTGATGACAACTCATTTACAAGGTTTTCACAGTAACTTTGGCCGGGATGCAAAGTAAAAAAAAAGGCACCAAGAAAATATAAAAAAGAGCTTTCATGCTTCGTCGTACCGCGATTAACTGGGCTCAGTGTAAATGGCCCATCATCTTAATGTATATTAGGCTGGGTGTCTGGGGTGAGGCGGTTCTGCATGGTTCATCGCTCGGGGGTTTATTGTATCGAGTTTGCGATTCCCTCTGAAATCGTTTGATTGAGTATTGCAACAAGTTGAGTGTGCCGTCGATGTCACGCGAGGTCTTGTGTGATTTTGTGTCATCGTACGATCCACATGCTGCCCATAGTGTTATCCTTTTGATTTGCATCGCTAAGCAACGATACAGCGCAATTCAGACATGTATTGCATCTGTCTATATCAAACATGTGTATGCAAAAAACATGAACGCCATAGCAAGGCTAACTGGCACTTTAACAATATCACCGACGCCCAATTTCAGGTTACCATTCCATGCAAACTCGATGGATGCGGTCATGTTTTGACCATGAAAATCTGCACAAGTTCGTTAGTAAAAAAAGAAAAGTCTGCCTAGATGCTGGCATCCTGCCGCAATAGCACGCAACCAACCTGAGCCAAAGCCTTGGTGTCCAGCACCGCCTGCTTCTTCTGCGCAATAAACCGTGATCGAACAAAATTGCGACTCCCTCTCGGTGTTGAAGTTCCCGTCCCGCATCCGGTAGGTGTTGAAGTGCCCGTAGTCGCCGTAGACGTCGGAACAGAAGCCGTAGCTACATTTGAATCCTCCCCCTCTGCCTCCTCCTTCTTGCGTTTCTTCTTGTCCTTTTTGGATCTTTTCGAGTCCGTCGACGACTCGTCTTCCGCCCCGAAACCCGGCTTCGACTTGGACTTGTCCTTCTTGGACCTCTTCTTTGATCGCCCTTCCTCATCGGCCGTGTTGTCCTCGGCTTCCGCAGCTGCAGCCAACTTTTTAGCCCTCCGCTCCTCTTTTCCTCGCTTCTTCTCCTTCTTCTCAGCATCTGCGCGCGCTGATTCCGACTCGCCCTCTTCTAAATCGGCCGCCTTTCGCTTCTTGCTCTTCTTGTCCTTTTTTGATTTCTTGCATCCTTCGTCGACTTGGGAGGTGGGCGTCGACCCCTCCGACGAGGGCTCTACCTGTATTTCATCGCCGACCAGCAATCCACCCCGAATGAACCGCATAGGGCCCCATTTCGCCTCTACATACCGGTTCGTTTTGACCACTAGCCGCGCTTGCCTGTCGCCTTCGACAGACTCTTCAGACTTGCCATTCAGCCGACTCAGAAGATCGGAAAAGACATCGAGGCCAGTAACTTCGTCCTCTTTTGCCCTGTTGTAGCCCAGGCCCTTCATGTCGTCTTTGAGAGTCACGCGAATATATGATGCGTTGGCGGCAGTGTGCAGCTCAGAGTGAGCCGCATCTTGCGCTCCGAGGAATTGTCCGGGCTCCCATCCCTGAGAGCGTAGAATCTTCTGTCCGAACGTTTTGGTGTCTCGAGTCCACTTTGTGTTGTTGGGGTCTTTGCTGATTCTTGACCGACTAGTGCACCATTGAACGTCAATATCCTTTTTTTTTCTGCTTTTCTCAGGAGAGTAGGGGCAGAGTATCACGCAACATACCTCTGTTTTTCGGCGAGAAGACCCATCTTGACAGCTATTTGCTGCGACGAGCCAAGTCTCGATGTGCTGATTGGGATGGAAACCCGGGCGGCTCGAGAAAAAAAAAATATTATACGGCGGGAGGGCGCTCGACACCGGGGCCCTTATCGTGATGGGTGATTGGTCCGGCCGCAACCGAATCGCCCCACAGCTGTTGGACGAAATGGAAAGCAGCACGCTGCACGACAGTCCCCGGCATGTCTTCAGCACCGAGAAGGCGACAGGATCGGCCCCTGTCACCTGTTTTATCTCACGGCCAAGGTAAGAGGGCAACCAATTTGTACACGATTGGGATCAACATCATCGGGTAGCGTATGGCCGGTAGTGCGCGTTGCCGTGCCAGATGGAAGAAGGCTCGCAACGGGTCTGCTGTTCTTCAATACCAGTTGCCACGCCGATGCTGCCCGTCCAGCGATTCATCACAACGCGGCCACAATATCAAGCGTTCTAATACCATCGAATTTCTGCTGATATACCTGTTTACTGACATCCGCGACCTAGGTAGCGCCTGAATTAAAAAAAAAATTAAGAAAAAAATTGTCAAAAACCCATCGCCATTGCAAAGTTTTCAATCTGCTGTGCCAAGATGACAGAGATGCGACCTGCAAGATAAGTCAAAGGCTCGCTCCCCCGTCATATCAAAACAAAAGGCGCCGTCCCGCCGTTTCTTTGGATCCCAGACCTGCAATCTGTCAAACGTGAAACCTATCGTTTTGAAGCCGCTTGTGGGATAAAAAAAAAAAGGGAAGATGTTTTAGTAAAACAAACACTCAGTAGTTGAGTTCACTTCCACCACCGCCAGAGACGTGATCTAGGTCTTCGTAGCTCTTTAAGCTACGGCCCTGCACGGCTTCGCGAGGACCGCCTGCAGCACCGCCAGCACCATCTCCCCAGCGCGATCCGCCGGGACGATTTCGGCCTCCGTCAAACCTGTTGCCTCGACGGTCATATGGGCCTGTGCGATATTGCCCCCGGTTACCCATGCCACCGCGACGGATTGGTCCGCCTCCTGAGCGCTCATCGTTCATTGGGTTCCAGCCGCCTGCTTGTATGCCGGCAAACATGGGTGGAAAGTTGCCTCCAGCCATGGGGAAACCGGGCATACCCATCATGCCATTCATTGAAAAGTTTTGCAGATTAAAGCCCCGAGGAGTTCCGGTGGCGTTTTGCCCGTTTGCAGGCGGGAAGTGTCCGTTGGAGTTGGCATCCGTCCTCGAAGGCGCAATGTGTGCCGGGTCCATGACATAGGCGTTGATGAGCTCAAACTGTCACAAAATTAGTATTCGTTTTGACATAGAAGAGGGTAGCCTAGATATGTAGCTGACAAACCTCTTGTTTCATGTTATCCAGGAAGTCGGCGTGCCTCTTCTCGACATGTTTCTTCCAAAAGTGTTCTTCTTTGAAAAGCTTGGTGCATTCTGGAGCTTTGCAGCGCCACTTGTGCTCGTCCTCTTGCTTCACGTACTTGGCCAGCTCTTCTTCCACTGCTTCGTCAACTGGTCGCCCGCCAAGTTTGCGAATGTCGACTGTTTGCGGCTCCAAGATTTGCATAATTTTGTCCTCAAACGTCTTGACCCAGTTGTACGCCCGGAGCAGCTGCTGCTCCGTCTTGTTTGAGGTGTTGCGAAACTTTTTATCGCTCTCTGCAGGCTCAGCATCGGCTTCCTCTACATCAGCCGTCTTCTTTTTCTCGGGGAACGGCTCGCCGTTCGCGCTTGCACGAGCCACAGATCGCGCAGATGAAGACAAGGTGCTTCTGGGTCGGCGAAGATGACCCCCAGGACATTTTCGGGTAAGCTCGTGGACAGAATCGCTCTCAAAGACACAGAAGAAACAAAAGTTGAACACGCGACGCAAATACTCAATCAAGAGATCCAGTTGCTTTTTCTTGATGAGCATGTCCTCATCATCGGCTTCGTCGTCAATGGCGCCATCTTCCTCCTCCTCTTCCTCCTCGCCCACCATGCCATCTTCATCATCCATTGCTTCGTCTAGAACGATTTCCCGTTGCTTCTTGACTTTCTTGGCAGGCGTAGGCGGGACAGCTGGTTGAAGCCGGCCGTTATTGCGCAGGTCGTCAACCTTTTCCTCTACTTTGAGAATGGCCTGGAAGTCTGAGCCAAAGTCTTCTTCAAACTTGTTGACCAACCTTTGTACTAGGAGCAGATCTCGCTCAATGCGTTCAGGAGCGGAAAAGAGATCCCACAATGCCTTTTTCCTTGGGTTATTGGGAGGGTTGTGAACGCCAACATGGCATACAAAATCGCCTCGCACTTCATCTTTGACAGTCTTGCCATTGACTGCCTCGAGTGCCTTTTCCGCGGTTGACACTGGCTGTGGGGTTGTTGTGTCTACATCGCCGTCGTCATCCTTTGGATCAGTCCGATCCGTTGAGAGGGATGTCTCAGAGGATGGGTGTAGCATCACCCAGCCAATACGGTGATATCTCTTGCTAGGATTGGGATCAGAGAGTGACAACCATTTAAAGCCGCCCTCTTCCTCCCCGAGGTTTTCCTTGCAAAAAGACTCCAAATTTTGTCGACTGACATGAGGTGCAATGGTCTTGATCAGTAGAGTAGGCTGGAACTGGTTCTCATCGCGGATGTCAGCCCCGTTGGCCGGAAGGAGATCTCCGACGCCCAGAATCTCGTTGCTAGCGGTGGCTTCGCCCTCCTCCTTCTCAACAACACCGCCAGATCCGTTGCTCTCGGCCTTGGGCAACCCTTCCAACGAAAACTCATCAAAGGTCCCTGTCTCAAGATCCTGCTCCCATTGGCTGTAGGCGCCACGCCGAATTTCGTTGAGCTTACTGCGAAGCTCGTCGCGAATCTCTGGCACATATCTCTCCTTGAACCACTGCTCCTTTTTATGTTCCGAAACAAATGAACGCGCCATCTTTGCTTGCAGCTCTTCCTTGTAGGCGTCGTATGCAGCTTGGATTTTGGCCTTTTCCTTTTCGCGCTCTTCCTGCGACTCGCGAGCACCACGTGGTCTCTCTGGTTCACGTCTGCGACCAGTCCGGGCCCGTTCCTTATCATCCTTGATTTTCTCATTCATTCTCCACCATTCTCCAAAATACGAGAATCCTACCTGGTAAGGTAGGCGAGCTGGATCGGCGAGAGGATTGACCGTGACACCGGGGGATGCAGTTTCTTGCCCGGGTACATAGCGGTCAATGTTTGCCGGTGGCGAACTTATTCGTCGGCGATCGTCTCTGTCTCTATCTCTGTCTTCTCGGCGAGACCGAGGCTCGTACCGGTCTACTCCAGGAGATCGCGAACGTCTGCGATCTCTTCGATCATTGCCTGTGATTGAAACAAAGTTAGTTGATGCCAGTTCTTTGGAATGGGTGTCGACGGACAAGGACTGCCAAACAGGCAGTCACAGCAATCTCTGCAAACAATCAATCTTACCCGGAGACCGTCCACGATAAAAGGTGTCAGATCGCTCGTCCCGAGTTCTCGATTCATCTCGGCCCCAAGTCCGATCTGATGGTGATCTAGCCGAAGAGTCTCTGTACGTGCTGTAAGAATCCATTGCGACCAACAATGCTGCCGCCGAGTGAGCCGGACGTCGGCTTTTGACCTGGAAATCTAGCTTTGCCTCGGTTCATCAGACGGTATAAAGGTATCGGAGAAGGATCGTTGAGGACACTATTGAAACGGTTGCCTGCAGTTGTGGCGACACGGCGACGGTTAGAGAATACATCTTAACACTAGGTGCAAAGAACAATAATTTAAGAGTTCAAGAGACGATAGGGAATGCCAAAGAAGGCCAAAGGAAAGATAGTAGCTAAGATCCCTCGCAGCACAGAGTGGCAGGAGGAAAAAAAAAGCGAAGAAAAAGCGACCAATGGTCAGGGAGGATGAATCGGGTTTGGGTGGTTGGTCGACGACGATGGGGTTGATTGGCAATTGAAGCGACGAGGAGATGGAGGGTCAATAAACGCAACCAAGAAGGGGGGATAACGAACTGAATTCAATGAGCACGGAAGTCTGAAGCCAGCGATGCCGCACTGATGCTTGCTTGCTGAATCGCTCTCTGGGGACGAACAGCAGCTTTGCACGGGGAGGGAGGTTGGAGGAGGCTCAATCGGAGAAGCGTGGGTGGAGCTCAAGTGCTGTCAGCTCTCTTCTCACCTCCCAGTCGGCTCAAGTCGCGCCTTCCTGTTGGCGACGTTGACGCCTCGGCCACCTGCAGCGCAACGACGGGTGCAGAAAGGTGCGAGAGTCCTATAAATGCACTGTATTGGTAGGCATAAATGCAGTGGGGACTCACAGTCAGTCGACAGCATGCAACAGCCATACTCATTCCAGCCAATGAGAGAGAGCATTCTTTTCTTGGTGAGGCAGGTGGCGACCTCCGCAACGGCGGCGACGGCCGACAATGCTCTTCTGTGGGGGGGAGCGGCCCAAGATAAAGGGAACGGCTCGACTTCTCCATATCCTGCATTTCTTCAGGATATCCGGAATGTACACAATATTCGGATCGGCCATGCCTCGGAGGTCCTCAGCCAACTCTGTCTCGTGTAGGCAACTGGATTTGGGGTCATGAGACTTCGACACGTCCAAACTTAAGTATACGACCAACCGCACTCAACCGTCGTGCTTTCAAACGAAGACTGCTGCTGGTCATATGATCTAAGATATACCGATTGTTCTTGTATTACTGCCTTCGGATCTACCTCCTTTTGCGTGGAAATGACGGGTTTGCCGACTGTCACCAGTGGTTACAATGTGGCTGTGGAGGAATTTCGTGAGCATGAGTACCCCATGCTGAAAGGTAAAACACTAATAAGCGATTACGTTCGTCAGTGGGCATTCTTCTTACGATTGTGCAGACTCTGTCTATCTGGATCACGCGGGCTCTACTTTGTGCGCCAAATCTCTAATGGACGCTTTTGCACAGGATATGACTTCGACTCTCTATGGCAACCCTCATTCTGGCTCATGGTCATCGCAGCTTTCCACAATACGTATAGACGACATTCGATTACGATTACTACGTTTCTTCAATGCAGATGCGTCCGAGTACGACTTGGTATTTGTTCCAAATGCCACAGCAGGTGTCAAACTCGTGGTGGAAGCCATGAGAGCGCTCCCGGAGGGCTACTCATACGCCTACCATCAAGCATGTCACACCAGCTTAGTAGGCGCCAGGGAAGACGCAAGGCGGAGCATATGCGTTGACGATGTTGACATGGCTTCATGGCTGCGGGGCGAAGGTCCGTTTTCGTCCACCGGTCCGTCTTCAGCAACCCTCTTTGCCTTTTCTGCCCAATCTCATATGGACGGGCGACGGTATCCCATATCATGGCCGAGAGAACTTAAGGATAATTCACATGGCAAATCAACCCCTTTATTCACCCTCCTTGATGCGGCTTCATTTTCTGCCACATCTCAACTAGACCTCAGCTCACCTGATTTCGCTGCAGACTTTGTAGTTCTTAGCCTGTACAAAATATTCGGATTTCCCGATTTGGGAGCATTAATAGTTCGACGTTCTGCGGAATGTATTTTTGACTGGCGGCGATATTTCGGCGGCGGTACAGTTGATGTGGTCACTTGCAAAAAGGAGGAGTGGCATGCGAGGAAAACCCAGTTTCTCCACGAACGTCTGGAAGACGGCACACTACCATTCCACAATATCATAGCCCTGGACTCAGCAATGACGATGCACACGAAGTTATTCGGCTCCATGGATCAAGTCAGCGCACACACTTGTTCCCTGGCTCTGCAATTGTTCGATAGGCTGGAAAGCTTGCGACATGGCAATGCTGTACCGGTGTGCGTCATGTATACCCAGCGTCCAGATCCTGCCGACTTACTAGGAACGGGCCCAGTAGTCTCGTTCAACCTAAAGAACAGCGCAGGCGGTTGGGTCAGCTTGGGAGAAGTCGAAAAATTGGCCATCCTTCACAAGATTCATATTCGAACGGGCGGTCTATGCAGCCCGGGAAACATAGCAGCTGCTTTGGGTCTGGAACCTTGGGAGATGAAGCGAAATCTATCTGCCGGAATCCGATGCGGTGCTGATAGCGAGCTTATGAGCGGCAAGCCAACTGGTGTTATTCGAGCAAGTGTGGGCGCCATGAGCACCAACTCTGACATTGAACGATTCCTCGAATTTTTAAAGGAGTTCTTTGTTGAAGCGCATCCTACGCTCGTATCACTCGGTGAGAAGACCAAGAAAAATCTCCAAGGGCCACCCAACATCCGTGTTAAATCAATCACCGTCTTCCCAATCAAAAGCTGCGGTGGCTATGTCGTACCGCCAGGTGTGCAATGGGATGTGAAACCCGAAGGACTAGCATGGGATCGTGAATGGTGTCTGGTTCACCCAGGCTCAGGTCAAGCACTCAGTCAGAAACGCTATCCTAGGATGACACTCTTTCGACCAACACTAGATTTCGAAAAGGGTTTCTTGCGGGTGACATATCACGGAGTCAGCAGCAATTTGGGCCTACCAGAGGTTCAGGTCCCATTATCCGCGAACCCATCCTTGTTTGGAGAGGAATCTAAACGAATGTCTTCCCAAGTCTGTGGAGAGGAAATTTCCGCCCAAGCATATATTTCGCCCGAAATCAACGACTTCTTCTCCCAATGTCTAGGCGTTCCGTGCGTGCTAGCAAGGTTCCCTGCCGGCGGTCGTGGCCTCATGAGCCGCACCGTCAAGGCACGCATCCAGAAACATCAACACACTAAACTGCTGTGCACGCTACCTGGCTCGTTTCCTGATATTCCGTCACCCCCAGACTCTGACACGGAGCAGCCTACCGAAGGCAAAATACTACTAGCCAATGAAAGTCCGATTCTGCTAGTAAACAGCAGTAGCGTGGATGCTCTGAACGGCAATATTGTTAAGAGAGGTGGCACAGGAGTCCCAGATGATTCCTTCAGAGCAAACATTGTCATTGAAGCGGACCAAAAGAGCAAGCACACTGCCTATTCGGAGGATACCTGGAGCAAGATCCGCATCGGGAACCAAGAATTCAAGCTGCTCGGCGCCTGTCGACGATGTCAAATGGTCTGTGTTGACCAAACATCCGGCGTCAGAAGGCAGGAACCATTTTCAACACTGGCAAAGACCAGGAGGATTGATGGGAAGGTGTATTTCGGCGTGCACATGAAACATGAGCCTATACCCAGGGATGTGAGCTTGGTGAACCAAGCACCCACAATTCAGGTTGGAGAGGCTGTTACTGTTGACAGATGGATACCATGATTACAACGACTGACACCAACGACGAACTCTGTATAATTACAAATGTATGTAACGATGTCTCCTGGCCATCGTCTTGCACGGCATGTATAGATTATTCTGGATGGGGGAATCATTTGCTAGCGTATTGGCAATAATAGGGGTGCATGGAAAATAAAGAGGTCATGAGCTTTTACCGTCTTGTGATCTTATATTTGATGTACAAGTATTACGATGTCGCGTGTCAATACCTGCAGACGCGACGTGGTTAGCTCACGTCAGTCAGCACGATGCAAACACTTACGAGAATGATTCCAAGTGAAACCAAACCTCAGACGTCCCAGCGTGTCCACTCATAATACGTTGCTGTTGTGCTGCCGCCTCACTTGCAACGTCGTACACCATTCCGGCTGGCCCACAGACTGCAATGCCAACAGTGCCAACAGACTGCTGGAGTGACGTCTCCCTAACCGTGGCCCCTGTGTCTGGGCGTCCACGGAAGACCTTGATGCCAAAGAGGGAGGTAGTTGAGTTGGCAGATGACTGTACTCTTTGCTCTTCCTTGCCCTTCTCCTCATCACTACCATAAGATGTGGTTCTTGATACTGGAATCTCCACAGCTGAATCATACGTTTCATGGAGAAGTACACCTACTCCGGGAAACTCGGTTGCTCCAGAACCGCACTGTCGCTCTGCAACACGCTGCAATTCCTCGGTATACCATATTCGCATTTCTACATCTTTAGTAGCCAAGACGACTTTCAATTCACTTGTAGAGTTTGAATCACGCCGACTCAGCCAATCCTCAATAAGCGGCAAAGTAAATACGGACCCAGAGCCGCCTGCGATGAGTATCGTGCGGTCAAATCCCTTGTACCAGCGCGCAGGCAAACCTGCATATGGACCCTCCAAGAGAACTCTGAGGCTAACATCTTCCTGTTTCCGAGCCATCCTGGCTAGTCGATCGGTCAAGCCTCTCAGTGGTTCAAGATGGAAGACCATCTCGTTGTGCTGAGTCCCCTTTGAAGGAGCTGAACATAACATGCTTCAATGTCCTGGCCAGGGCGTAGAACAGACTACTCAAGTAGATGACCCCAGCGGCAATGAAGTAGTTTCAAGATGTCATGCGGAAACTACGGCGGAGGAAAAAGAAAATCAGGAAGACGGCTGCAGAGAAGTAATGCGTCGACTTGAAGAACTCGTACCACTTATTTCTGTTAGGAATTTGACAGCGCGGGCAACTGCTGTATTGCTAACCGAAGACGTACGTACCGAATCCACGAGACGGACATGAATGTTAGCCAGGCTTGGGCGATGATGGCAATCACGCCGGTCAACCGTACGCCTCCTGTGCGAAAGGCGGCGGCCAAATCGCCTTTGTCACGATGGTAGACGATGAAAGGAAATGTGTTGACGAGGGCCAGTACCAGCATCGCCCAGCTAACCCAACTATGCCATGTGTTTAATGTGTTTAGTCTCTCGGTTGATGTACCGGTTAATGCAGTAACCATGTTGGCTTTGGCCCCGAAGGCGAGTATAAACGACACGCAGGCCAAAGCCATCCATCCCAGTCCGCGTAGCGATAGGAGGCGAGTTTCCATAGCGAGCGTCAGTTGGCCAGTAGTACGGCTGGGGTCCCAAGGTTAGCGCTGAAAAAAAGACGACGCCGAATGCCGCGAGGAGGAGGTTTCTGAGAGACTGGGATTGCCAACTACCAATTCGACAACTCTTGTAAGATGGGAAACGAACAGCAGACACGCAGCAGCGCCAGGATTTTCTTTGGGTCACGGTGGCCGGAGTAAAGTCGGAGGCGAATCTACCAACGGTGAATAGTGTGATGGCAGATACGAAAAGATATACCACGGGGAGGCAGTAAGCCAGATCCGCCTGGTACCTAAGATATGGTCAGAGGGTAAAGGTCTGTGAGGAGGAGACGAGTTGGTGTCAATTAGCCGACTTACCAGAATACCCAGTAGCTATCTTTTAGGGCACATTGATTCGGTTTAAGAGTACAGCTTTTCGGACTACGAGAGGAGTGAAACTGTATTGGATTGTTCAGTATTGGCAGAAATGGCGTTGAAGACATGCCCGAGGAGGCCATCTCAGAAAAAGCCATCTTAGAAGAAGCCATATCGGGATGTGTCGTCATTATGCCTCCCAACTCAGTCACCTAGATAGAACTTGGGCTTCTAACAAGATGGTTTATGTTAGGCGAAAGGGTGTAGGAAAAGGATGGCAAGGATATTGTAGATTGCAGCAGAGGAGTGGAACAAGGTGAGGACAAGGAAGCCGGTGCAAATAACCCATTGGGCTCTCATGGGAAATGAAGAAAACAGATAGTGACGTTACTTTTTTAATTAGATATAGGCAGTATATAGCACCAAACGTCGATGTATCATGGCCCTCTTTTGCATGATACAGGTATGCACGCCGTAGTACAAAGTATACAAATCATGTCACGGCACCGTTGGCGCGACACCCTGCTAGTCCATGCAGATGGCGAGGCAGTGATTAAAACATCCGAAACGTTCTCCACGGACTCTCTTCTCTCATGGGCAGTCATGGAAGTTGATGCCGTCCGGGGCCCCAAACTATGCGCATATTTGAGCATCTTCCATTGCCTATGCTTGGTTTGAGATTAGCACGACCGAGAACCTGCCAGACACACGGGGAATATAGGGGTTTGGGTTGCAACACTGCCCAAATTAAAAACTCAGTGGTATTGGGCGACAATTTGATGCAACATGGATGCGTTCTGCTGGGAGCCATCTGGAGTCAAAGACAGACATGGGCTTGCTGAAGACGACGCAGTTGCGCAAGTTGGTCCTTGCGCTGAAACCCTCAAACAAAAGCGAAAGAAGCTGCATTTGTGCTTGTTGAACTAACAAAAGAGCATATTCCGCAAGCCCAACGGAAAATTCATGGAGATCAAAGAGCTGCCCGGATTGCTGCCGATGGCTGCTGTGTCCCTCTCGCGAAGGAGTTCAATATGTTGAGGTCGAAATGAGTAACAAACCAGACCAACCAACATTCAGCTGGGCTTCCTCTTTAGGGTGGCGCCTGCCCGCCGAGATAGCGCATGACACCTTCCACATTTTGCATCGACTCATGCCAACTTTCTCCATACCATTCAGTGTTCCGTTTTATTCCATCATCTCGCAATATATTTCCAAGGCTCTCTGCGCAGCCATCAATAAGAGTGCCCACATAGCTGCATTGTCAAAGTTTCTTGCCTGTCTGTGGGTGTCGTGGTACAGAGATACGCCTCCCCCCAAAAAGCAACTCATCACTGGCGGACCAAGAGACAACTCGAGGGCCAGCACAAACAGTGAATGCAAGCTTATTTCCCGTCTATCTCCGTTATAATTGCCAAGACGGGATTGCATTGTACTCAGATAAGTCATTCGCGAGCGTGTTGTCATTGTCCCCCACGGAGGCCATGTAAGTCAATGTCGGGAATCGCGTGGGGAATGGTAACGCTGCATTGTGTGGTATACAAGCAACTGACGACAAAGGATAGAGACCAGGAGCCATACGGAGTACGATGCCTGTGTGTTGAGACGATTCAACATACACACGGGCGAACGAGGTCTCCTACAAGCAACTTGGCACAAGGAGATGCACCACTATGGTCATGTAGTATTGGACATTCTAACCTAGCAGTCTATTTGGGTGCATTTCCCCCCACTGATTTTTCGCGTAGCAAGATAGAATTATGCCTCTACTAACAAGCCGGAAGAAGCAGGATTCCCTGACAAAGAAATAGCAGCTCCCGCTCAATTTATAATAGAAGTTCTTGGGCGTCAGTGCGGACATCTGAGATTGACAACCCACTAGGTAGGTATACATGATAGACTGTCTGGATACGTATCTGTAGTCAGTCACGGCAATGTCAGACAACTGCCAAGTGAGGCGAGAGCAGGAAGGCCATCAACAGGGGCCTTGTTTAGGTAAGTGACATAACTCGCTTGCCGAGCTGTGATACAAGAGCGAACATTGCGTCGTTGTGTGGCCTACATTCGTTATGCGTGGTAATTTGCTTGAAAAATCAGTTATTTGACCCCTGTTGACTCTATAGGGATAGTCTCAAAACTTGTTTAAGTCAACACAAACTGGTCACTCGGATTACATACACCGCCAGCAGTGATCACAGCCACAAATTCCCAAAGCAGAATAATCTCAACCTCATGGTATCGGCACACAGATATAACACAATGACCCTCAAGGTAGTCCAAGGATTAATCCTAACGGCAAGAACCGTCTTTCCTCATGTTGCTTAACCTCAAGGATTGAACTATGCCAGTGTGGGAGTTCGAACAATATCCTGGAGACTGTTAGGTGTCGTTCAGTGTATGTAACTGGTGTGACGTACCTCGTGGTCAAGAGCTTGAAGTTGGTCATCTTCCGGAGATCGTTTTGCCATGGGTTTTTTGGCTTTGGAACCCTGTGTCTTGCCCTTGTTGTTGTTCTTGTTGCCGTCCTTACCGCCTCCAGATTTGGCAGATGCCCCCGTCTTTCCAGAGTTTAATTGCTTGTCCCTGTTCTTGCTTCCATTGCCCCCCTTTTGCTTCCCTTGCATATTCTTGTTTGAACCCTGATTCTTCTTGCCAGCCGCCGCCGAATCCCCATTGCCGCCTTCTTTCTTGGCCTCCGTCTGCGACGGCTCGGCTGATGACGTGGTCGTCGAATCTGAAGCACTAGGCAGAGGCTTCAACTCTCCCACCGGCTTCTCTTCGCCTTCGACTCCGGGAAGCGGCAACAGTCCCTCCTTTTGACCATCTTTATTCACATCCTGCGTGGGCTTGGGCACCTGTTCATTCACGCCCGTCACCATCGCGTCAACTACCTGCGTCCCCGACATGTGCAGCTTGATTGGTTCGGTAGGCAAGGGCAACAGCATCTTGCTCATACTTGTCACTCTCTGCTTCGTCACCACTCCCATGCTATTCGTAGCTACTAGATCCGTGACCACAGGAATGAGACGCGTCACAATAGCAGGCTGCTGTACGAGGGACTGTATGGTGAACTCCTCTGATACGACAACGCGGGCTTTGGAGTCGATGATGACCATGTTGAAGCTGGGGAACGCGGCAATGGAAAGATCAGGCGCCCATGTTAACAGCCCAATATTTTGTATGCCGACTGTATCGTCATTAGTAGAGATCATTTCGAAGGGTTCGGGGGACAAACCAGCCACCTGCTGTGCAATAACAGTCCGTCCTGCGACACCCGCCGGCACCAGGTTAATCGCGATCGGTGCCTCCAGCCCAGCCGTATTCCACTTGATATCAATCTGCTTGCCGAGCTCGAGAGCCGATGCTTTTGACGGCGACGAAAACTGTGCCGTGACACAACCTGCCAGAACAGGTAGAAAGATAGAACGCATTGTGAGTATCGGTAAGGACTGCCAGAGTAAGGTAATCAACCTGGACTTCTACAGAGCATGGAAATGATAGGAACGGAAGTCGACGGCGATACCAAGGTTTTTTTGTCTGGGCAACCTCCCAGAAAATACTATGACTACAACCCGTCACCGAGACCCCGTGGTGAGGAAACGTCCATATCCGAAGTTTGATCAGCGACACGCCCAGTCTAGAGCGACGCCAACAAAACCATGAAGTTGATGCAATCGTACGGCCGCCATGCTTGGTCTGCAGGCAGCGAAGCACGCTTAAACTTGATGATGAAACGGGAATGTGAGCCAAAGACTAGCATTAGGAAGCTGACACAGGGGCAGCCAACGTGAGAAGATAAAGTGAAACTGCGCGACGGGAGATAACTACATTGGACGAAAAGCGTCGCTGTTGACACGCAACGCGGGGAAACAACCTATCACACATTGCACTGACGAATTTTCCGACTACTACCGTAGTTAATCTCGCCAAGGAAATGCAGTTGTGTCACCTTAAGCCCTGTATCCTCTAAGATGACCTCTGAGGCTGAGAATCTGCAACAGTCATAGGATGATCAAACCGCTTAAAAACCGTTCAGACGACCACGGGACAATACTCCGTGACCAGGACAGAAGGTCACTCTTGGCGACAGTTTCATCCGGTATCTCACGGCATTATAATCGTGCGTCATGACAGCACTGTTCAACTTTTTTAAGCCGGGCTAACGATTCACACTGTCGTACAGCCAGGTCAAATGCATGAACATGCCAATCCCATTTACACCTAATCCCGGTCTACCTAGCAAAGAAGATATTAAACAAAAACAGAGAAAAGGTGGAACCAAAAAAAAGTACATACACCGCCCTATTACCAGGTCTGCGGCAAGAGACATCACGCCATTCTCCGTTTTATGATTCTTTCAGAATCTCCCAGCATCGAGCCATTCATCCTTCTGGGGCCGTACGTCTACAGGTCCTGATTATGAGCATCGCCCGGTGTGCCTGAGGAGTCTACGTGAAAAGCGTCGCCAAATGCAGAGTCATCCATGTCCATCTGCAAGTCCAAATCTTCACCAAGTCCCCCGGCTGAGCCATCCAGATCAGGGGCATCGTAGCCCGCCATAGCATCGCCTGCGGTGTCCAGGTCACCTAGTGAGCTGAAATCGTTTTGGTCGAACGAGGCGGAACCGCCATCCGTAACTGCAGGGGTGGCGGCTGCGGATATAGGCTTGGTAGGAACTGGAGCCAGCTTTTGTTGCGCAACCTGTCCGCTGGTTGCTCCGACTGTAACGGTTGGAGCGGCGATGGGAACAGCAGCAGTAGGAGCAGTTACAGCAGCGCTCGAAACCGCAGATGATGGGGCATTGCCATCTGGAGATGCACCGCCCTTTGGCACCACAACCCAATCACCACTGTCAGTTCCCTGATCTGCCGCCGAGTCGCCCTGCGCCTTGGAGTGAGCCCCCATTCCAGACATGTCAACATCGCCTGCTGGATGTGAGTGAGAAGGCCGTGCTGATCCCGGGCCTGCCTCTGGCACTGTTGGGAGAGCCGGTGCCGGAGAGGGTATGTTATGAACATTGGACGGTGTTGGGGCATTCGACTGCGCTGCGGACACTTGGGCCTGAGGCGTCGGGAAGTTGTTGACCGGGGTTGACGTAGACGAGAATCCAGTGTGCATTTGGTCCAGTAGGCCTGCTGCAGTGCCTCCCATATCCATGTCCGAATCACCCATCATCAGGCCACTATTCTGTGAGCCCGATTGCGACGGTTGCCGGGACATCTGAGTCGTGGGGCCCGGCGTGGGTGGCTTGGGAGCTGGAGCTTGGTACCCGCCGTCCTGAACTCTCTTGATAACGGGATGAATGTCAATCTTGCGTCCTATAGATGCCTCTACATCTTTGAGTATATCATCAAATGGCGTCTTTTCTGGCTGTAATGCCGGCGCCCGCTGCTCTTCCACATTGTCTGAGCGGTCCTCCGCTTTGAATATCTCGGGGACAGGAGGGTCCGGAATGGAGCGAATTTGCTTCTCCTTGATTTTCAGAGCTGAATTTTGCTTGAAGCTTGCCATGAGCTCGGCGTGCTCTTCCTGCAGCTTCTTGATTTCCGATTCAGTAGATTCGACGTGCTTGCACACTCGTTTTCGGAACTCGTCTGCCAATCCTGGGTCCAGACGGCCAACATATGGCTTTTCTGGAGACTGTGTGAAAACATCGCCTCCTTGGGCAGTAAATATACCCTCGGTCAGAGATGCCAGCTCGCCCTTGAGCCCAAGGTTCAGGTCGGATGGCTGGATCTGACCTATTCTGTAGGCCGACGAGAGAATCTCCTCCATCCACTCGTGATTCTGCTGGTAGCGGTGCAGAGAGATCTCCCTGGGAGTCAAATGATCAAACATGTCACCCCTTGAGATATCCTCCTCGTCATCAAAGGCAGAATCCATGGGGTTCATGCCTGGCACTGTAGGCTGCTGCTGCTGGTGTTGTTGCTGTTGTTGCTGCTGCTGCTGCTGCTGCTGGCTTTGACTCTGTGAATGTCTCGCGCGCTTAGCGGGGGGGCCGGGTGCTGGCTGAGGAGGGTATGCCATTTGCTGAGGAACTCCTCTAGGCGCCATCTGAGGGCCCATTTGTTGCCGAGTCAGCTCAGGAAGCGACGGCCAGTTGACGCGATCGGAGAGCATGAATTCTTTTCGTCGGATCTGGCCACCCCGAAGGAGGAAATGTCGCTGTTGCATGATGGCATTGACGCGTTCATCATAGGGAACCATGTTTGCTGGAACGCGATCATTCTGCTCTGAGGGACCGTAGTGGACGATGAAGAGGCTCATGTCAAGCGGAGGAGGGTTGGGGTGACCTGGAGTAGGTACAAGTCGGAATCGTCGTCGGGTGTGAAGCGCAAACTGCTCGCCGGGAATGTACCCAGCCTTGAGGTAGTAAATTTCCAGTATCTGCCATCAAAGTGAGTTAGCATGTGAATACTGTCGATGGGTAGGCGCTGTCGTGTGTACCAAGCCATTGCCCAAGTCGTGCTTGTAGACTTGCTCCGGTGGTGCCCAAACGAAACCGTCCGTCGCAAAGTTTGTCCCCAGCCGCTGGAGAGGCTGCCAGGTCAAGAGAACAGTACCATCGGCAGGTTTATCGAGATATGTCCAGAAGAACGGAGCGCGGTCCCTGGCAATCTGAGGGGCAGTCATGAGCCACTTTGCGACCTCGTTCATGTCGATTCGAGGCATTGTCGGATATCGATAAGAGGAGACCAGGTGGACATGGGGCATCTGGCAACGAGTTAGCAGAGTCAAAATTGCCGAAATCATAACGCATGATGAGAGCTCACCAGGTCCTGGGGGACGGTGTGGCTAGGATCTGGTTGCGCCATCTTTGAATGAAGGCGCCGTCTCCTCCGTGTCGTCAATCAATTGAGGTCGTCCGCGTGCTGAAGCCCTGGAGAAATTCAAATGTTCGATGGGTTGAGCGTGTCAAAGGGTATTGCGTCCAACCAATCCAGGGCGGCGGCAAACCCGGTTGATGATTGGTGATGGGCCTGATTGGGCGGCGCAATCGCTCGTGATGGACTGTGATGAATGGAGTTAAAGGTGCTTGCTTGCTCGATGTTCCTTGCGAGGCGCGGGCCCAAATTTGCTCGCGACGAGGCTGGATGGCGTTTGGCCAATCACAGCGGCCATGCCCGTCGGATAAGGTGGATCCGTCACTTGCGATCATCTCTGGTCACTCCAAGCCTCGCATGAAGTTGTTGCTTTCAAAACATAACTAGGTAGCTAGGTAGTCAATGCTACAGTGGCAATTGAGGAGCCAAATAATGGATATTGAAACTACGAATTTTTTTATTGTAGCCTACTATTTTTTATCCTTCTTCTTTGGGAGAGTCCGGTGCTCTCATGACGCGGCAAGGCGACGACGGCTTGTCACGGAACCATGAGTCCCACAACAGATCCATCTTGTATTAAGCATAATTCACATCTGCATCAGCTTTCCCGGCAAAAACCCAGTGTACGCCCCCAATGAATTCATATTGTATCTTCATGTCCCTGCATACCTCACTCCCAATACAAATTTTACGCCTGGTAGGTGGAGGCAGAGACGTTGCCGCCACGGCCGGTCCAGTTGACGTGAACGTCCTCGCCAGTGCGGTACTTGTCATTGGCGGCTTCAGGCTTGACACGGAAAGTGTGAGCACCGAAGTAGTCGCGCTGAGCCTGGAGGAGGTTGGCAGGCAGGTCCTTGGTGCGGTAACCGTCGAACCACGACAGGGCAGTGGAGAAGGCAGGAGTAGGGATACCAAGCTCAGCGGCTTGGGAAACAACATCTCTCCAGCCGGGCTGGGCCTTATGGATGGCCTTGTTGAAGAAGTCGTCAAAGAGTAGGTTTTTAAGTTCAGGATTCTTGCGGTAAGCGGCAGTGATGTCCTTCAAGAAGACGGAGCGGATGATGCAGCCACCACGCCACATGAGAGCAATGGAAGGCTTGTTGAGCTTCCAGCCAAAGTCTCTGGCGGCCTGGTTGTAAGAACAATGCTCGTTAATATGGCACTCAGCACTGTAATTGGGTGTACAAAGGAAAGATTAAGGGGGCGGGGATGGGATTGGAGGGCAGAAAGGAGAGTCATACCTCCTGCATCAGCATGAAGCCCTGGGCATAAGAAATAATCTTGGAAGCATACAGAGCCTGCTCGAGGTCTTCAAGGAATTGCTCCTTGTTGCCTTCAAACTTGCCGCTGCTGCGCGAGACATACTGCAGCTTGGTGGAAGCCTCGACACGCTCTGGCTTGATGGCAGACAGACAACGAGCCAAGACAGCCTCAGCAATCAAAGTGACGGGCATGCCCAAATCCAAGGCATTGACCGCAGTCCACTTGCCAGTACCCTTCTGGCCGGCTTGGTCAAGAATCTTCTCAACAAGAGGCTTGCCATCGTCATCATTGAAGTACATGATGTCACGGGTAATCTCGATCAGGAAAGAGTCCAAAACACCCTTGTTCCACTTTGCGAAGACATCACCCATCTCCTTGTTGGAAAGGCCAAGACCACGCTTCATGATGTCGTAGGCCTAGAGGTTCAGGTTAGTCAAGGTTCTCGCACTGGTGAGCTTCTTGGGTCCGCAGCCTTCGATTCGGAGGATTCTTGGAACATACCTCGCAAATCAGTTGCATGTCACCATACTCGATACCGTTGTGGACCATCTTGACGTAGTGACCAGCACCCTCGTCTCCGACCCATTCACAGCAGGGTTCGCCATCACTCTTGGCAGCGATGCCCTGGAAGATGTCCTTGATGTGAGGCCACGCCTCCTCGTCACCACCAGGCATCAGAGAGGGACCGTATCGGGCGCCCTCCTCACCACCGGAAACACCGGATCCGACGAATCGGAGGCCCTTGCTAGCCAGGTACTTGGTGCGGCGGTTGGAGTCAGGGAAGTGAGAGTTGCCACCATCAATGATGATGTCGCCCTTTGAGAGGAGGGGGAGAAGCTTCTCAATCCAGTCATCGACAGCCTGGCCGGCCTGAACGAGCAGCATGACACGGCGAGGAGACTTGAGCTTGCTTACAAACTCCTCGACACTGTGGGCACCAACGATTGATTTGCCCTTGGCCTCATTTTCCAAGAATCGGTCGACCTTGGAGACAGTTCGGTTGAACGCGCAGATGGTGAAGCCGTGGTCGGCCATGTTCATGATGAGGTTCTGTCCCCTGTCTCGAGCTGTCAGCTGGTGCCGCACGGCCCGGGGCATTATTCGTTCTGACGAGGGCACAAACTTACATGACAGCAAGGCCGATGAGGCCCAAATCAGCGCTTGAAACATTGTCAGCACTTCTTGAAGCTTGGATGGACGGAGAAGTTGAAGCGGGCTGAAAGGGTTGGCGAGGTTGCTGGGCGCCGCCAAGCTTGAGATTAGCGAGGCGAGCGCTGTCCCAAGACCATGAGCAGGGTGTCAACGAGGTGAGTCAACGGGCTCCAACGCTAGCTAATGACGACTCAAAAATAAACACCAAAACCGGTCCCGCGATGACAGCTATCGAGGTGCGAAAAGATGCGCGGAATTGAGAGGTCACAACCAGACAGCAGTATGGGGGGCGGGGTGGCGGGGTAACAGCGGGAGCAACAGCAGGAGCAATCAAACGTTTGATGGAGGGGTTGTAGATGAGGCAGCACTTACACGGGGCCGGACATGATGGCGTTGTTGGGGTATTGTATGGAGTGGAAATATCTCGAGAGGAAGCTGGAGGTGGACGTGCAGGTCGAGGTGCTTTAAGAGAGAAAGGAGAAGCAAGATCAGGACCGGAGGGAGAGAGGTGTGGCAGATGAGAGAATTATAACGGGGGTCGAGAGATTGGAAGGCGAAGCTTGTTGTTACAGCAAACTGACGCTCGAGAAGTTTGGCGTGACCCGGAAAAGCGGGTAGGGAGGAAACAGTGATTGGCGGGGCGGTAGAATCATCGTCATCGGGGCCCGGCACGCCCGTTTTCACAAAAAGCTAGCTTCAGAGGGCCGTCAAGCTTGACGACGGTCATTTTCAAATGTCTGGTGGCGTGTAGCAGAGACGCATGGGAGCATTAAAGCGGCATTTGAAAGCGTGACCATTTGACATCTGGGAGACCTGAGCAGTAAACTGGAGGACTATCAGAAAGCCACAAAGGCACGTTCCAGTCTCGTTCCTTCCTCGAGAATCAATTGTTCTTCGCCAGTCATACATGACAAACCGTTACGTGCGCGGGGCCCTATCTTTGGCTTTCCACTCCACGCCCCCATCCTACCCATGGACTACGTTTCTGCTGTGGCTGCATCATCATGACCAAGCTGGCCCTAGCTTTGCTTGTACAAGCGTCCATAAAGGTTCAAATGCGCCCATTGTATGTCAGCCTTGCTTGTGAGAACTAACACATTGTGATTAGGTCTTTTGGACATGAGATGCCAAGCTGCTACCAAGGGGTCCAGCGCGTTATGGACGTGCTTCACAATCCATTCCAAACCATGCATGTCCCAGCGCGGGACGCCCGGATCACCGTCGTATCACGATATGAACCAAAAAGAGAAGAGAAAAAATCCCAAATATGCACCTGCAATGCACCCCGCCGCCCCGGCCTGGTCATGAAAGGAACTGGCTGCCGGAGACGAACTCTCGGGCTGGAGACTACATGTGAAACGAGTGGTTTTCACTTCAGCCCGCGCAAGCCATTAGTGGAGTCTATCCTTCTCTTGCCAACGGCCCCATCACTTTTTTGCCGTCTCACTCACCAAACGAGGCTTGCTTGCTGGCACGTTGGGGCCACGACACTAGTAAACTCGTTTGCTGGGTACTACCTAGTAATTAGTCAGTTGCCGGACCACAACGTTCCGTCCAATACCACACCCATGTTGGCTAGGTTGCGGTAGGCTCTCGATACACGATCGGTAAATGTGCTTCTCCGGGTGATGAGAGTGCTATTCTACCAATCCAATTAGCGTTCAGACTTGAGGCATGTCATACCGACCTGTAACGGACTGAGGGCTCGATCCGTATTCGGCCACCTAGGTAGTTAAACCACAAGGAGCATTGTCAAGACTCCATCATGCTTTGTCATAGCCAACATCTCGTAATGAGCCTTATTTTGGCTGATATCAACTGCCTGAGCTCCGAATGTTCGACTCCATCCCCTCAGAACAAACAAGGCCGGTCCTGCATCTCAACTGTGCGGCACTTGTTGATCCCGCCTACATCACTAGTACAGTAGTAGTACTCCCTTCGGACGATGGCCCGGCATGAACCCCCACGGAACGCCGGCCGAAGCGCGACCCACCGGGACCGGAGGTAATGCATCCTCACCTTGGGCTTTTAGTTGATGCCGTCAAGAGTAGCGATGGCTGAGGCCGTAACTTTATAATCCAAAAATAAACATTCCATCATTATGCGACTCTGAAAGAACAATCGTAGGTTCGCCTAGCAAGTAAACTTTTTGACAGCTTCGAGCTGTCCAGGGAGCTGTCAAGTCTCCGAAATGTCACGTGATGGGACTAATGACCGGAATTTTCCGTGGCGCAAGGTTGGGTTCGACGTCAAGGCACCGCGAAAGGCCTTCATCTAGCATAAACAACTTAATAAGTATCTTGAGACATCGACACACCCGAAATAACCTCCCGGCTGCCAAACCTCCCCAGGTTTTTGCGCAGGAATCAACTTTGAGTGTGTAACAACTCAAGGTACGTCAAAAACAAGGAAAGGCACTTGTAAATAGGTTCCCTCTGTTCATCATGGCCTACCCGCCTCCTCCAGGCACCAGTTCTCTCCCACCTCGGCCTCCAGCAAACGCTGGCAACAACATTAACACCGGTCGGTCGGGCTTCAAACCCGCTTTTTCGACAACCTCAAAAGCCCCCGGGCACGCGTACACGAGCGGTCCATCCTACAACGCTGGCGCATCAGGATATCCTGGAGCCTCGACAGCGGCTCAATATGGTCAGTCTACATATTCCAGCTATTCTGGCGCAGCCCTCGCCGATGTGAGCGGCGGGGGGCGAGGATATGGATATCAATCAGCACCACGGCAAGGTTACGGTCCTCAGAGCTATTCCCACGGTCCGACATCGTACTCTGCAACACCCCAAATCAGGAACCCCTTCCAGATGCCAGGTCAACAAGCCGCCGTCGTCTCCAACCCTAGCGACTATGACCCCGACATGGCCGCGCAAATAGCCCAGTGGCAGAGCGCATACTCGAGCGAAGCAACACAAGCCGTCGACAAGAATGGCAAGCCAATCACTCCAGACGTTCCGAAGCCAGAAGTTCCCGCAACGGCTATACCAGGCCAGCCCGACAAGAAGAAGACGGTGGTCCGCCAAGGCGGCGGTAAAAAATGGACCGACGATACCCTCCTTGAATGGGACCCTGCCCATCTCCGCCTATTCGTAGGCAACCTCGCTGGTGAAACGACGGATGACTCTCTCCTCAAGGCCTTTGCGCCGTGGAAGTCTGTCCAGAAAGCCCGCGTAATTCGCGACAAGCGGACGAACAAATCCAAGGGCTACGGATTCGTCAGTTTCAGCGATGCAGACGATTTCTTCAACGCCGCCAAGACCATGAACGGCCAGTACATCCAGAGTCATCCCGTGATTGTCAAGAAGGCCAATACAGAAATCAAGGCCACCAATGTCAAGGAGAAAAGGAGCGGGAAGAATAGCAGGAATAATAATTGGAAAAAATCAGGTAACCAGCAGGGTGGCGGTGGTCATGTTGGTGGAAGCGGCACCTATGGTACGTATGAGCCAGCAGCCCTTGGGCCCGTTGCGCCGACGGGTGTGACTAAGCCTGGACAAAAGACCAAGAATGGTTTGCGACTGCTGGGATAGAGCACTGTGCTGTGGAGTTTGGATGCTACAAATGCATCGTATTGTTCCCGTGCAGAGTTTGAGCTTTTTAGCGTTTGTTCTGGCGTTGGGGGACCCTCGTATATCCCGTACGGCGTTTGACATTCGAATATCAATACAGCACAAATCCACTCGGTAGATTGTCAGTTTCTCAGGTTACTGTAGACGGGTCGCGGGAACCAAACCATGCATGCAAAACGCAGATTTCCATTACTACGTGCCACTGACATGTATCCAATGTCTAGTCGCTTTATATGCTGACGTGGGCCGAACTTTGGTATTTCCCCCTCTATATCAATGGTATATCCGAGCCACTCTACCTTGACTCACTGGGGCAAAGAAAAAAAAACTCATGTCGAGATCTGGTACCCTTCTCGCCGCCCTTTTCCTTTTTAAATCCAGCTTACAAAACAGATGAAGTTGATGTCCCTTCCTGAGGCCCAAAATTAGACGTCAATATACAAAACATTGAAACAAATAAAATCAACGCTGGAGAAACCGGTTTGCAGTATGCTTGAAGTAACAAATCCCCATCATACACGCTCTCTTCTACCCGCTTTTCACTGCGCGTTTGACGGTCGAGGCAGGCCCGGTTGCATGTCACCATCCACTGTGACAATCCCCTGCTCCTGCTCGTCAGTCCGTTGTAATAGACCTGCAGTCTCTGCGGCCGAGTCATCGTTGTCCATGTCGCTACCACTTCCGCTGTGACTGATTGGAGTTATTGGGTGCACGCCCGCATGGCGCTCATGGACTTCAATTTGTGCCTCTTCGCGCATCTTGGTGATCTTGACATAGTTGTAGGCGCCAATGGCGGCCATTGTGACTAGGAGGCCAATGACGTTGATTGGCGTGAGCCTGTCGTCAAAAACAATGGACGCGGCGGAGATGGTTACGACTTCCTTGAAAATGCCTGCAATAGACAAGGTGACGACGGATGTTCGTTGAAGAAGCGCAAATTCAGATGCAATCATGAGGAACGCAATGCAACCTGGGAATAATAGGAAGAGTGGTGTCCAGACACCCCATTCCCCGCCAAGGGTCTTGAGGCCATCCCACAACGGCCCGAAACCCTCAACCGGAATAGCCAGGGAAAAGAGAACGACAAACATGACGGGAGATAGGAAGAAAATGCTCGAAAAGGGGTTGGAGGTGGCTGGGTTGCGTAGAAGCAGAATCTGCGTAAGAGCCCACCGCAGCCCTGAAAAGAATGCTGCGGAGATGACGAGGAAGAAGCCTCCAAACTTGAATTCGACCTCCCCAAACACCATAAGAATGACACCAAACGTCATGGTTGCGATGATGGCAACGAGGCGCCAAGTTGGCGTTTCGAGACGGAATACGAAGGCGAAGAGGAGGACAAAAGCAAGGGATGAAGATTTGCACATGGCTGGTGCTGAGTATTAGCATATGTTGTTGTCAACGGCTGTCGGAATATGCAACGTACTGTAAAATGTCAAGCTGATAAACTTGAGTGACGTGTTTCCCAGTCCGATATCTAGACTAGTAGCGGCACCACACGGGCCAATACGGGTAAGATAAAATATTTTGGACATGACGGATCCCTGAGGCTCAGACTCATGCCTGGATCGGCCGCCGTCAGAGTTGTGCGCTGCCTTTGGCCGTAGTGAGGGTACGAATATCAAGACCAAGCCTGACAAGACAAACTGCACAAGCATATGTGTAGATGTGGTGAACAGAGGAAATGCAAAATTCAGGCGGTCCTTGTCGAACATCCATTTATTATACTAGCCAGCCAATGGTCAATCCAGGTATGTGAGGGTTGTGTTGATCCAAGATTGACACTTACTAATGAGATAGACAGCGAAAAGAAATACCACAGCAGAATCAAAACCCCATTAACGAAGAGGCTCCTGACGACATTGCGATCTGCTTCCTTGCGCTCGTCGTCGGAAAGATGTTTCTCGCGCGCAATTCGATTGTCCAGCAATGTATTCCTCCTTCGTTTCTTTTGCTTCCGCGAATTATCCTTTCTCGTCAACCCCATTTCCTCGTCGTCGTGCAAATCCTCATCACTGAAGCTGTCTCTCCCCGAGTCGTCCTTGCTGCTGGAGCCAGACTCTCCAGCACTTCGACTAGGTACATCGAGATGTTCCTTTGAGCCCTCTTGCAGGCTGGAAGACGAAGGGGCGTGGCCACGGGAGCTCTGGGAATAACTTGGCCGGCCAGGAGCAGGTACACCAGAGTGACTATGACCACCAACTGGGTTCATGAGACTACTCTTCCGCCGCCGATGACCCGGAATTGGTTCCATCTCGATATCGTTGCCGGCAGAGCCTGGGCCGACGGCTTGTCGAGAAGAAGTAGAAGGATTGGCCGAGACAGGGGCGACGGCGCCAGAGAGCTCGAGTCGAGGGTCGAATTGTGAAGCACTGCTGCGAAGAATTGGTGACTGGGCTGCGTCGAACGCAGCTAGGGGAGAGGAAGAGAAGAGGATAGTATGGGAGGGGGGAGATGATGGGTCTGGGGCCATGATGGAGATCTCAAAGGGTCACAACAAAGCTTCCTATGCTTGGCAGGGTACAATGTCATCTTGGACTCGCACTTGGACTGGGGCGGGCACGCGACGGTCCAGTCATTGACCAGCACAGGTGGAATTGTATGTCTGGGGTTTCGACAGTACCAGTACCCAACGGCCGAGGACGTACGTCGAGAGACTCACGAGCACTTGAGCCACCAGTCGGCACTGGGGCTCCCCGGTGTTTAAGTGGGTAAAATGGCAGGCCAACAAGGGAGCCTATTGGACATGTACCGCAGCCGATCACCCAGCCGAAGGAAGAGAGATGCGTGAAACAGTACAGCCGGCCACGAGATGCAAGCACAGATTCAGACGGAGGACAGTCCAAGTGGTGGTGGTGTTGCATGAGGGGGGCAGATGAATTGTGGGGATAAACTTCGTCGCTTGGACCGATTGATGAGTGTTCACAGGCAATAGGCGGCGTTTCCAGGTACCGACTAGGAAGTCAACTGGTGCCTTGGTACCCAGCCACTTGCAGCTGACTACAACCGTACCAGCCCCTGGCTCGCGGCCGCTAGAGCACTTTGGGCCAGGTCACAGGGCGAGACGGCGCTGCAAGTCTCCCTCCCTCCCCCTTTGCCCTAGTTGCGGGTGTCTTGGCTCCCGGGCGTCAAACAACAATATCAGCAAGACCCGGCCGCAACAAGACCAAACATTGGTAATTCATATCAATAGCAATTGATGTGTTGGTGAGCGATTTGGAGTCTCAAGGTGAATGGTCTCCTGGGCCGAGGGAGGTGATAGGCTTGCCGTCGCCGTGAAGGATTATTGCAGGGCACGCGACTCAAGCGACCAGTTGACAGACATCTGGAGCAAACAGCCTCCAAATGTTTTACACAACGACCGCTCACCGTGCAATGGGACGGACCATGGCTCAGTCCAGACCTCCTCTGGTATTCTATTTCTTCAGAACACTCCTGCATGCCTGTCTGTGCTCTCCGGCAGTTTGGCTTGCATCGCAACACCGCATTAGCTTTGCAACAGCCCAGCCGATAATTTCTTGCAGACTTGGGCACAGCACAGTGACCCACGCAGCGGCACAACATTGAACATGTCGGCATGATTAATTGATGGTTCCCCCTGGATGGACGGACGGCTGGGGCCCAGAATAAATGGGACAATAAGCTTGGCCAACCGAGACCCCTGGAGCTGGGACTGAACCATGCCCAGCAATAATCTGTTTTTTGGACAACCGATCCTGACTTCTTCATGCGGGCTTGGGCGTAGCCAGCATCGCCATCTCTCAGCAATAGGTGTCGCGTGCCATTGTCGTTTTCCCTACAATATCCACCGCATGAGGTACGTATGTATATACATTTTACTCTTCCGCCAATAGTAAGAGTGGCTTGTAAGTTCAACAAGGAGTGGTGTACTAATCTTGGAGCACAGAGACGTGACAACCGTTGCTGCACGAAAGCGCCGTCCCGTGGTGCAAGAAACAGGCACGGTACTACCACACCTGCGAGCTGCCAGGTTCATCTTTGTGGGCCGTTGCTCCTCACCGCCACGCGATCCATCGGGCTCTCTGGTGCGCGAATCTGGCTGCCACAAAGAGATGTGGTGAACACAACAAGCCAGTAGAAAGGACGGAAGAGGAGTGCCTCGCTGGGCCTCCGGCTTTCGACCTCCGCCCTTTCCCAGCCACCACTCACATCATTTCCCATTCGGCTTCCCTGTGATGGCCACGGCACCAGCACCCGGTTCGTTAGCCTTGCGAGCACAGTCACAGTCAGTCAGCTCTTGGTGCGGAGAAGACGCATCGGACGATAAGCTGGACAAGTCTTAGGCTGGAAAGTTGGTAAAGCAGGAGTCTAATATTGCTGCCCGCAACAATCTTCTAGCACTGTTTCAGCTATCATCGTGGGTGCGGGGAAGTGGTACGGAGTAAGTTAGCTCTAGACACTCTGCGGGGTTTTTTTAAAGTTGTTCTCATATTACCGCGTGAAGTGTTACAGGTGACTCTTCCAAACCCTACCTTAAAACGACTCTGTATAAATGGTTCAGGTTAAAGCCTAGCACGTACGGAGTATGTTATCATGGCTCACACTATTACCAAAGCCACCAGTCGACAGGATCTTGATAGTTTCTGCTCTATAATAAAGAGAAGACACTGGCGCCAGGCCCATCTAAGTGAAAGACACGACTAAATGTGCTTTATAGGCATATCTCCATCGTATATCGCCAGAAACTGATTATCGTTTCGTCGCTAGGAGGTGGAAAGCTGCCAGCCAAGTAACAATTCACCCCTCTTACTTCTCTCAATTCGTCGTCCGCTTTGCTCTTAGAAGTCTTCTTACACCTGTGCTTGGATAATTCGTCGGTTACACGAGTACCAAATCTAGTATCACACTTGCATTTTACTCTAGTACCCGAAGCTCCCGACCTGGTAGAATGGCAGCTACCAACAAGGGCATCTTCTAATCTGGGGGGAATATGATTCAAGGTAAACCCAACAACTACTAAGTATATACTCTTCAGCCATCGAGAACATATGGGACACGTCCTCTTCCTCCACTACAAGATCGCATCAGTATCAGGATCGTGAGGTTTGGCCCCCACCTTCCGCCGGAAGTCGGCTGAGCTCACCTTACCCCACCAACACCTGGATAAAACAGCTGACAGCTACCCAACCAAGCTAGGTACCTAGCTTCTCCCCGTATTGTGACAGAATAGACTTCCAAAGCTTCCCACTCCCATTCACTCGCATCTCCGATTTGAACCATCTTGTATGATTCATCATCTCGATTAAATACTATCAACCATTTGATGCCCATTCCCAATTCGTCCTGCTGACAAGCTTTCTCCATGGCGGAAGGATCAGCACCTCGCAGGGGACCATCCCGGCGAGCTCAGACAGGCGGCTACCTGCCGATAGAGGACTACGGAATGATCGGCAACATGCACACTTGTGCGCTTGTGGGCATTGATGGCAGCGTTGACTTCATGTGCTGGTGAGATTGTCCTACGGTTTGCCCGTCACAAGAATTCTTCATTGAAACGTGAGTATAGGCCCGATTTTGACTCACCGTCCGTGTTTTGTCGACTGTTGGACAAGGACAAGGGCGGCTACTTTAGTATTGCGCCTCCGGCAGAATTCCAATGTACTACCAAACAGCAATACCTGCCTGGGTCATGCATTCTGCAGACCCGATACATTCATGAGGACGGTGTTGTGGACCTGGTCGACTTCTTCCCTCGGCCCAAGTCCGCACTAGTCACCACCAAAGAGTACAAGCAAAGTTCCTATCGTGAGTCGACAAGCGTGCAAGAAGAACTCAAAAAGTGGCTCGTTAGACGAGTAGAATGTGTCAGAGGATCTTTGACGTTTGGTGGGTTTACCATAACCACGTTCAAGCTGAAACTCCAAGAAGCTCATCAGTTCATAGATGTGGAAATATTTCCCGCCTTTGGATACGGCCTTGAGCCACACATCACCACACTATTCCACAACACCGACTCACAGAGCAAAGTTGCCACCTTCCATGGCAAAGATGTGCGGCTTCAGTTGGATGTGGTCCTTCAGCAGGGAGATGACGGCGACGGATGTCCCCATATCACGTTCAAAAGGGTAAAGAAGGAGGGAATGGTTGGGGAAGGTATAGTTGGCCAGGTTCAAGTACGCGAAGGCGAGGCCATTTCCTTTGTGCTGAGAAACGACATCCCGGATCATATCACGGCGCGGATTTCCACTTCGGTACTTGACAGTCAACAGCATGATACTCAGACCTTTTGGCACAATTTCAACAGGCAGTCAAAGTACAAGGGTCGTTGGAGGGAGGTTGTGTCTCGAAGTCTCATGATTTTGAAAATGCTGACCTACGGTGAGATTACACGTAGAATCCTACGCATCTTTGAATCCTTGGGTTCTAATGGCCTGCAGAGCCCACCGGTGCCATCGTGGCAGCACCCACCTTTTCCATTCCCGAAGATATTGGCGGAGTGAGAAACTGGGACTACAGGTATTCGTGGGTGCGCGATTCCAGCTTTACCGTTTATATTCTGCTTCGACTTGGATTCAGGGCTGAGGCAGATGCATACATGGACTTTATCATGGAGCGTTTTGTCAAATCTCGCGGTCCCGACGGGGGGTTGCCTATCATGTTTACCATCCACGGCGATACGGACATCCCAGAACACACGTTAGACCATCTTGACGGCTATCGAGGCAGTAAGCCGGTCCGAATTGGTAACGGTGCTGCTTTTCATCAGCAGTTTGACATTTACGGCGAACTCATGGACGCTATTTACCTGTACAATAAGTATGGCAAACCAGTCCCTTGGGATGTGTGGTGTGCAGTGAGAGAATTACTAGGTAGGCTCCGTTATCCTACATCTCTGTCAACATGCTAACTTCTCTAGATTATGTGTTAACTATTGTCAATGGTATGTATTATCGTAATATCTGTAAATGCTTTTCAAATGAATGCTGACACCACAGATCCCGACATGTCAATCTGGGAAGTCCGTGGTACTAAGCAGCACTTTACTTATTCCAGAATTATGCTTTGGGTCACCTTTGACCGGGGCCTACGACTAGCCGAGAAGCGATGTTTCCCGTGTCCAAACCGTGCCAATTGGCTGGCGGCCAGGGACAAGATTTACGAAGAAGTAATGGAAAAGGGTCGGTCAAGCGTGTACGTCCTCGGGCGATGTGATCACTAACGAGTGTTTACAGGTTACAACACCGAGATGAAGTCTTTTATTCAAAGCTACGAAAATAGGACCGTTCTAGATTCTGCTATCCTCATTGCCCCCCTCGTGTTTTTCATTTCACCTTGTGATCCTCGATTCGTCAATACTCTGGACCGAATCCTACTGCCTCCTGATAAGGGCGGTTTAACCAGTGCTGGCTTGGTGTTTCGCTACGATACGGAATTGTCAGATGACGGTATGGCTCAATATCTCTCTCCCTGAAACTATGATATGATGCTCATCAGGACGTTGTAGGCGTTGGTGGGCGAGATGGTGCCTTTAGCATGTGCACCTTTTGGCTAGTCGAGGCCATGACCCGTGCCGGTGTCTATGAAAGCAAATATCTTGTTCGCGCAGTCAACATGTTTGAGAATATGCTCTCATTTTCCAACCATTTATCTATGTTTTCAGAGGAAATTGCTCGAAGTGGCGAGCAGTTGGGCAATACGCCACAGGCGTTCAGTCACCTCGCGCTCATTAGCGCTGCGTTCAACTTGGATCGAGCAGCAGAAGGATGGACGGGCCAACATTGATGACAACCGGAAGGCTTTCAAGGTTCTTTGCCGCCACACCTCTCCTTATATGTGATGTAGCCAATACAGTACAGCTCGATAGCCAAGTCTGTGCCCAAGATTACAACTTGACAGCAAAAATCTGTCCACCTTGACCAATCTGGCCGCCACCCCCCGTAGTAACATATACTGTCTTCTCATCTTTACTCAACGCCGTAGAGGTAGGCCCATTCAAATAAACGCCAGCATTGCTGCCTTCGACTAATGAGACCCACTTACCGTCCGGTGTTATCTTTACCAACGTATCCGAATGGGCACCCAGATAAATTGTCCCATCCCTGGCAATGGAAAAGTCATCGGGAGTTTTGGGCGGGTTGAGCGGTAGAGTGGTGATAATTTCCAAGTCGCCCGCCTTTTCACCAAAGTCATTAATTTTAATCCTCGCAACAAATCTCTGCTCCGAATTTGTCAAGTACAGATATCCCTCGAAGACCTTGATGCCATTAATACCCAGAGGCACTAATTTCGGGTGCGGTCCAGGCGTAAACCTGTCGTCCTGAAAGGCAATATCCACCTTTCCATTCAAGATATTCACTCGGTATACGCGGCCCGTCTTGGAATCCGCACTGAGGACAATATGTCTATGCTTGGGGAGGCCAGCGATGCCGTTTAAAATACCCGCCTCGGGAATCTGGGCAGTAACATTGACAGAGGCAAGTTTAGCATGGTGACAATCGCGTACATCAACGAGGGCGATTTTTGAAGTCCCAGGCTCAAAAGAAAAATCGGTGAAGTTGAGGATACCGGCAGATACAGCGTACAAGTCATGCGCTACATCCACAATGCCCGTGAGTGCAGTAGTGCCAGGGATTCGCGCAATGACCTGAGGAACGATCTCCTTAGCGGAGGGATCGAGGGTGTACAGGCGGCCGTTGTCGAATGTGTCGAGGAGAAGGTGGCCGTTGGGACGCACCGCGATGTTTTCGACGAACTGAGATTTGTTGGTGAATTGGAAGAGCTGGGTTGCTGTGAGGCCGGTGATGGGGGAAGCTCCTAAGACGGGAGTGAGGAGCCTCATGGTATGGTGGGAATAATGGGTGGTTCATGTAGACTTGGTGTTTCTCGAAATATTTCCAGGGATATGCGGGCCTTGTACAGAAATCCGCCACGGAGCTATTGCATCACTGACCATGTATGCACGTGCATGAGGCTCAATGCATGACCAAGCACTTTGGACCAACGGAGCTCCTAGCTGAAATCGAGGCAGTGAGCAATGATATTAGTGGTGCGGTTTTCCTCGCCTGGACTGAAACTCTGTTCTCATGTATGCGGGCAAAATGGAATATATTCTCCCCGTCCTACTTTTCCCTAGATAGCAATAAATCCCCGCCCGAAATGGGACAAAATGCCAAATCATTGATTTCGTCGATGCTCAGCGTTACGGCGTCGAAACCTGCTGCCCATCCATCGTCTTTTTGCAATGCCAGATAATTCGGCCACAGGGTTTCGTCAGCGAGTCCTTGCACTAGTGATTTTCACTCTTGTCCAACTGCAGCGCTTCTTCCCGGGTGCAGTCCTTGCATTTCTGCTGGACTTTGACAGAGGTGCAGGCGTGCGCTTCCCGGCGTTCGCAGGATGGCCGACGGCCGCTGCGTTGTTTGGATGGCTCTGCGGACTTTGTGGATGCGGGCTCTGTAGATGTGAGCTCACATTGCTTGATGCGCGCTCCCCAGAATTTGTGGTCGCAAGTGTATATCGTCAAAAAGTAGTAGCACATTGTCATCAAGAGAATGAAGACGGCCACTGTGTGTTGTGTCAAGATGCTTGATGATGGGTAACATGACGCCCAGATATGAAGCTCTGTGGGGAGAAAGCAGGCAAGGCCCTTTTTAAAAAAAAAAAAAAAAAAAACAATGGTCGCCCTGTACAAGCATGTCTGCCGATCAGGACCATGCGTAAATCCTCCCGATACAATCGATCAAAGTGAACATCTGGTGCTGCCCATCGATGCCAAGCGCATTCTTTCACACGCGGCGCACACAAAGGTTAGTGCTTGGCCGTTCAAACGCGTTATTGTCCTTGTTCCAGAGCACCGCTTGCAAGCACCTCTCGGAAGTCGCGGGCCCAGAAAAGCTTGTTATACGGGTGATTCTGCAGATTTCCAATGTGCGGGACGTCAATGCCGATGCGGGAGAGTGTGCTGAGCAGCGATGAGGTTGCGTCCTTGGCGATGATGACGCCATGGGAGTAAAGGAGACACTGCAAATCTGTCGTAGAGTCGCCGAAATACAACACTCGCTGGTCGGTCCGCGTGATTTGCCGCAAGGCATTCAACTTGTCGGGTGACGTTGTTAACCTGACACCACCTAGAGTCCGGGGGCCTCTGATTTCCCCCGTTTCGGAAATGTCGTTGGCAGCAACGCGGAGATGCTGCGGGTGGATGACTCCTTCGATAAAGGCCTTGGACCAATTTACCGACGTCACGTCGACTTTCAGGCCCTTGCTCTCGGCAGACTGTAAGAGCTCCTCGAATCCTTCAGTCTTGGAAACACGTCCAGACAAGACGGCGTCGACACCCATCTGAAAGAAATCGTCTCTTTGTACGCCTGCAAAGATGCCACTCTGCGAGACTCTGGACAAGGACGCTTCTTCGACGTCTTTCATCCCGGCTAAAAAGTTTGTTTCTGCCTCTATGTCCTTTCTAGATGCCTCCTGAGGGTAGAAATTTGCCTTGTAGGACTCATAGTCTTTGAGATAGGCTTGCACGGCGCTGTCCCATGCCGGTTGTAGATGCCGCCCTGCACGGCGGCGTTGGAGGTCAATGGCGGCTTGTGCAAGTTCTCCGATGGTATCTTTTTGGGTGATTGTGCCGTCAAAGTCCAGGACGAGCCGCATTGTCGACATGAAACTGCGCTGTATGGTGCGCCATGTGAGCATGTCATGGTGTCAATGGTGTTGATTGTTTGTAACTTAGTTGGAAAAGGTGGGGGTTGCGGGCGCCGAGCACAAGCAAGGCAACATTGGCCATCTCCACTTCCCCCACAAAGTATTCAAGTACCAGTGCGGCAACAGTCTTTTGAATGCATGTCTGCGGCAGGATACAGAAGATTGTTGTGAAATGGACCATGCAAGATTAGTCTGCGGTCTGGTATTGGCTGCGCTATTGTAGCGATTGGAGAGGGAAGTATATACTCCAGTACGCGAGATCTGGCTGGGCTCAATATCAGGTGCGCGTGCTGCTGTTGGTTGGGCGCGCAATGCGGCAGTACTTCCCAGCTTCCATCCTTCACATATCAATTGACAGCAGCCTCGTCAATGAAATTAAATGATATTGTTTAATGTAGGCCTTCGAGACCCAATCTATTTAGGGTATGCAAAGCCTGATTATTACCTGCCAGAAATGTGTAAAAATGGGACACCAAAAAACGCCGTACAAACTCCCTGCGCGGGTGACTCCCACGCTCTTTTTTTTTCGACACAAGTCCATATTCTTTGAAGATTTATGTCTCCTCGGCATGTTATTATGCTGGCAAAACATCTTCCATCTCTTCATTTTCATCGTCGTCCCCGTCGTCAACAGCCTCGGCGGCCTCCTCCTTGGCTTCACTGCCAGCCTTGTCCTTGTAGGCGTCATTCAAGCCATAGTGGTTCGCAAAGCGGCCGCTCTTGTGCAACACAGCCACCTCTTCGAGCACTTGGCGCAGATATGAGTCTGGCTGTTGCAGTTTTTGCCGCAATGCCTTCATGGACCAATACTGATACTGACGGAAGCAGTCGAAGATGAGATCCAACAGCTGGTTCTTGGGAATGCGAGCAGCCTTGAACACTTCGCCCTTTTTGGCCTTGACGGTCGGTGGTGCATTTTTCTGTCGTAAATTAGCGAGGCACCCAATGAAAGGACCAGAGACCCGGGAATTAAAAAGCATACGATAAAGCCTCCACCCCAGGTAGCTGAGCCTGCAGTGCCTGGGTTAATGATGGCAGATGCGCTGTTCCTGCTGATGATTTGAAGCTTCGACTTGCAACTCTCGGCGTCGAGTAGTCGCTGAGCAAGCAGGCGCTCCTCTTCTCGGATGTTTCGAGGCTCGACGCGAACATCGTAGTGGATTTTGCCAAAGATCTTTGTCTTTTCTGTTGCGGGTTAACAATCCTTGCTTCAGTAGGTTGTGGTCGACAGACAGGGACCATAGTTACTTGGAATAGCCTTTCGATAGTACGGCTGATATCGACTCCTCCGATCATACGTCCTCTCAGTTCGCTCGGCCCCTTGGTTCTGCCTTTGTCGCAACAGTGATTGGGGTATGCCCGCGGCGGCAGCCTCCGCACGCGCCTTGTTCTTCTCCTTGTACCCGGGCAGGTCCTCCTCGCTGAATATAAAGTGATTCTTGACGTCCCTATCCAGAATCTCCAGGTCATACTCGCGAGGGAGCATCTGGTGCTCAGGGCAGTTGGCCTGCAGCAGCATACGAAGCTTGGTCACGTCACGAGTGCCGCCCTCAATCGAGGCATCGGGTACTCGTTCGTTCCACGTCCGCAGAGTGCCAATCTGAATCTCATCGTCATCACCTAACCTCTCAGTAAGCTTCAACCACGCATCCCACATGTACTTCGGCACGCGCGCGAGATAGAGGGTTTCGAAGGTGTTGCTCGCAGTCTTGTCGTAGAACTCGAGGTCGCCAGCGTCCTCAAAGAGCTCGTCCTCCTCCATGGCCATTGGAGGCGGCATGACCTTTTCATCCTCTGGGTCGGGTTTAATAAATTTTGAGTCCGCCATGGTGCGTGCCGCGCGCAGTATTAGGAGTGTCGGGCTCAAGAGTGCGCGAGGCGAGACAAAAGGTTGATGATTGCTGGAAAACAGGTAGCACTTTGGGTGTGACGAAATGCAACAAGCAGAAGGCGCCGCAAAGACTATTGGCTGGCTGTCAAAAGGCTGTGGGCCCGGGCGTCGCTGGTTCCACAGATCCCTTTAAGTGTGTTAAAGGTCCAAGTGAGGTAAAGGGCCCACTTTTCTGCGATACCTAGGCGCTACCTCTTTGATGGCAGAGTCAGCTGCGATAGTGAGATGTAGCTTGTTGTAAATAAAGATATCACGTACATACCTAGGTACCTAGGTACTTTTATTATCATATTATTCCTTAGTGGGCTTTTGTGGCTTTTAATAAAATCATTTTAATTGGCCAAGATCCTGGCTCAGTACGCAAAATGGACTCAAAGGAATGGATTTGACCCCACTGTTTGACGCCGGTGGAGCTATTGGTCGCTGTGGGTTTTTACGCAGCAAAGGCTATAGCGCAGGGGGGCCAGTAACGTCCAGTTCACTGTTCAGCCGTAACTGCTTCCGTGGCCCAAGTACCTGAGTGGTATAAAACCAACGTCCAGCGCATCGTCATCCTTAGCCTGGATTCATCGCCCTGCCTACAGCTGCCACTCGTCATGTGCAAGGCACAATGGCTACGACGCCTCGACGTAATAAGTCGTCTCAGGAACTCTAGAACTGGCACGAAAAGGATATGATGGTGAGACTTTTTTTTTTCAATCTTTGATATGCGAGAGGACCATCTGTGCTGAAATCGCCCAGCCCACCCCCCTCTCTTCCCTCGGCAGACAATGAAACATCGTGCATCTGCAACAACATCGCCTCGCCTCGCCGTGTCACTCCTCCAGCGATACCAATATTACCACTACATTTAACGCACCAAGAGGCCAAAACACATAAACCGTCGATATGCCTGTCAAGTCGTTGTCTGAGCTTGCTACAGCGGCTTGCCTGAAGAACCTCAAGGAGCTAGGCAGTATAGGAGACTACCTGCCCTACGAGGCGGTCCGCCACCTTCTTCTCAAGATTGAAAGCGCCCATCAGCTTCGACAGATTGAGCTCAGCTCCCCACAGATCCAGGGGCATACAGGCGAGATATGGTTGAAGCTCATTGAAAAGGACTTTCCTCTTGAATACAAGGCCAAGGCATACAAACCGCAGAATCCGGACAAGTGGTATCGAGTGTGGGAAAAGTACAAAAGGGACCACGACGCGGCACTTGAGGAGAGCGAAAACAAGTTGAAGAATGCACTAGCCGGCCTGAGGCAGGACAAGGAGAAGAACACGAGCCGAATCATTGAGCGCAAGCTACTGCCAAAGTCAGTCAAGCTGGGAGGAGGCAAGAAGCCTTTCAGTGGGCCACGCGAGGCACACTCTAACTATCTGTCGTTCAACTCTGGCAGTCGAACCAAGACGGTCAATGGAGCGAGTGTGATGCGCAAAGTCCGTCGTGAGGTGAAGGAAATCGCAACGATTCACGGCGCGCTCTCGAGGCCTATCCGAGCACCAACCCAACGCTTGCAGATGAGGAAAGCGCCTGAATTCATGGTCAACGACTATCGACGGGCTGCTCAACCCCAGTACCGCTCATCTGCCCTATCTCCTGAACCGCCATCTGCTGTAGCAGAACATGAGGAGCGAGCCACATTCATTTCGGATTCAGAGGAGGACGAGGAGAGCAACGGTGACCTGTTTGATGACGAGGTGGCCAAGATGCCACCCAAGCCGGCCAAGAAATTTGTTGCCCAATCTGCCGCCACGTCGCTTCTGAAAAGGCGACCAAACACGTCACAAGCGACTTCGTCACCTTCTACTACTATCAAACGCGTGTCTGCCTCAAACGCTGCATCCAGTCCGGTCAAGAATACGTCAAGTCTGACGAACAAGTTCAATCGCTCAGCAGGCAAGTCGCCTCCAGCATCGTCACCAAAACCTCAGTCACGGGCAGCCACAAACCATGAGAACAACTCTAGTAATGAGTCTAAGGCTTCGCCTCCGCTGCCTGCGGCGTCTGGGTCATCTCTGCCACCACATGCCGAGTCAGTTGCTCCTCGAGTGATGCCGCGAAAGCGCAAAGCTGTGGACGTCTTCATGAGACGCAAAAAAAGATGAAGCATATGAAAGGGTGGGGTTGGCTACGATGCAGCTGTGTATGATTAATGGTTATGGACTCGGCTAGAACTCGGGTTGCACTGAGCTTGTATTGGCATGAATGAGAAAAAGCGCATCTGAGTGGATTTGGGCACGCATTTTCTGTTATTATTAATCAGTTGGGGCTTTCAGACGTAATAAACACTCGTACAAAGAGAAATGAAGTCGTAATACATCACTACACCGCTTGACTGGGTCCAGTGATTTTGGTTTGTAAATATATATATATATATATATATATTTATGTTCGCTTCGTCATGTAGACAATAGTCTAGTTCCATATCATGGTAGCAGGCCTCCCGTCCCGGCTTGGGCGCAAGTCGTACTGGCAGTCGTCTTCCACCCTCATCTGTGGCCGCTCGTCCGTCCATCTATGCATTTCGTTTCGCACCTCCTCTCAGAGCAAGCACCAAGTGCAACGTATCGCCAGCGACAAGGTTGTAGTCGGCAGCCGTCTTGTCATCGGTCCTGCGCATATCGATTAGCCATGCCTCAGCAGTTCTCTTTGTCATCGACGCTGGCAACGCCCTACATTTGCTTTCCACCGTGAATAAGACGCTGCTGAACGGGAGGAATGCCCTCCTTCTCTTCGACCTTTTCCTTGATTTGCGAAACCTATTCCATATTTGTCAGGCTCGTTTGTTCCGTTGGTCGGAGGCGTGGCTTTGGAGGTGAGAACTGCCGTTACATGAAACGAGTCAATGTCGTACCTTGTAGTCGCTCTCAATGTCCAGCTCAATCTCCTTGCCGGTCAGGGTCCGCACTCTTGCAAATATTAGCTTGGGAGCTTGGAAGTTGACGTTGACTGGTAGCTTACTTGATCAGCATGATGACGGTGAGGGGGGTTCTGTGGCGAGCACGAGGCACAGGATACGAGCAGACTTAAAGAGGGGGGCTTGGTAGCCTTGCTGCGTGAATAAGGAGCTTGTTGGATGGGCGCGGTGCCTGCAAGGCTGGTGATGATGGCAAAGCAGAGTGCTCAAGTGGGTGGTTTGGCTGGTTGACGGTTGACGGGCGGTTATGCGGGGCAGTTGGTAGTGGCGTGTAATAAAGGGTCAAGTCTGAATTTATTTGGTTCGCTGGCCAAGCAGGGACTTGCACCTTGCACAACGCCATCACCCTTTTCAGCATTTACTCACAATCGAGCCTCCCAAATCATTTAATATGCTTTATCGTGCACAATGCAAGTCTATAAACAGTCTACATCGGTGGTTTGCTCCATACACAAAACGAAATCGTTCATGGATCTACACGCCTAGCTCTTCTCCAGCTGCTCAATCACCTCATCCCATCCATCATTGCCCGAAAACAAAGGGACCTTGACACCACAGTTTGTTCCCTTCTTTGGCATCGTCCCATCCACAACATACAAGCGAATAGCCTTGGCCGTACACAGCGAGGCTTGCATTAAACTATCATGCTACAAACTTTGGCTTGTGCTAAACGCCTGGCACAAGGGCAACTTGCCCCATATGAATCGTGCTGCAACAGCACACTCCCCTTGAACGTCTCGCTGACATTCCTTGCGGAAACCAGAGGTGTGGCGGGATCATTTGTATTGTCGATAGTCAACACGGGACTCTTGGACTTCACGTTAAAGTCGCCCATGTAGCGCTCCTTGGCTGGTAGTGTCCAGTGAGCGCATTTCGCAAGAACAGTGTCGGCATAGTCTCCAAAGAAGCGGCTCTTCTTGCAACGATCTCCGAGCACAAGAAGCACCTGAGTCAAGTTTGTCGTGCGGACTCGGACGTCGCTACACTTGATGCCGAACTGCGCTTCTTGATCTGCTTTGGCCGATGCCTCGGCGCTAGTCGTTTGTGTGAGACGGGGCACGCAGTGCTGTAGGCCGGGATCCATGCTCTGGCCAGTCATGAGTGCTTTAATGCACTTTGCTGTGTATTGCCATATGGAAGGTGTGTATAGCTGCCGGAATATCACGGCGGACATGAAGCTGTAGTTGATGAGGAGTCCGCCGCCTGGATAGCCCGGTACCGGAACGCCAATGGGTTCAGACTCGAGTTTCTGGAAAAGTTGATAGATGGACTCCTCAAGTTGAGCGGCTGTCTGGTTTTTTGCGAGCACACCCGCCTCGGGGTTGGCAATACAGCCTTTGACGGAACCCTTCATGACATTATCACTGTCAGAAAAAAGTTCCGTCTCCCTGTGCCGTATTAGCATGCTAGCATCTTTTGTATTATGTGCGTGTGAGAACATGCCTGTTCTCGTAATACTCAAAAGGGTTAGCAACGCCATCTAGGATAATTTTGCCAACCTTGTCGGGGAACATAGCCACGGCGGTTGAGCCAAGCAGTGAGCCGTACGAGACGCGCTAGAATCGGAGCATGCCGTCTTCACCCAGAGCGTCTACAATCTCCATCATATCGCGAACCGCAAAGGCAGTTCCAATGAGATTCCCCGTTTTGTTCTGAGGGGCATGGCAGTCGGAGGCGAAGAAACTAGCTCTCTCCCAGACGAAGCCCAGGGCGACATTGGACGCGTTGCCTGCGAGGGCTTGGTTTGATGCAGTGCGGAGGAGATCATTAGTAAAACAGAAAATGGCAGTGTTTTCCCGGTTCCTCTGTGGCCTGTCAGATTTGTTTATTATATATTGGTGCTACGTAAAACTTACCTTGGAACAATGTTGATAAGGTGGTGGCCACGGAAGGTTGCACTAACACTGTCAGCGAATAGATGCAAGTAACCATACAAGTCTCAACATACGCCTGCATCCTCCTGGCAAAGTACGTAAAGTCCTCAACACCATCGGCACCACCTCCTCTCAAAGTTAAGCAAGATGCTCTTTGTACTTTTGCTATTTTACTTCGCTGGGGCTCGTTGCAGCTGTAGCTGAAGAGTAACATTGCCCGTTTTGTTCGTGTAATCAAGAGGCACTGTCAGTGTAATGCATCCCAGAGGGACTGTAGCATTGGCAATCTCGCAAGAGACCATTCCAGACGGTTTTGTTGTGACCTGGTGAGGGTGCTAGCTTGAGCCGCCGAGGGTAGGGGCAGTGAGGGTAGAAGACGCATTGCATCATGAATGGTGTGCTATATCTGAATGAATTTGGCCCCTTTAAAATTTCTCTGGCAGTCGGTTCTCTATATATATATTTATACATATAATTTCATAGTATCCCACCTTATTTGGTTGTTTACTTTGGACATTGCATGCAGATCGACACTTGGCGGCTTACACTCAGCCTGATGACTGCACACCTGTAGGCCGTCGTCGCATGATGTCGGGGCCGCCGCTACCAGTCTAACGGCGGGGATCCACTCGGCGGCATCGACTACCAGATTAGGAAACACGGCGCGGCGCAAGTGTTGGCTACGCCCACGGGCCGCCTTCGATCTGACGTCCGGTCCAGTTGTATGATGTACAAGCCCGGGTTGCAGTTGTGACTTGTGCGCAGTTGCACGGTTGGTAGTGTCCACACTTGGGTGCCTGGTTCCCGCGCTGTGAAACCAAAATAATGACTGTATATTTGGCTATTGGGGACCAGGGGTGTATTCTATGTTACGCTACAGCTCGTCTGCCAGGCCAAGTGAGTGCATTGCCCTCAGGTAGGCTCGATATAATCCGAGTGGGCCATCTATGCTGCAGAGAGCCGCGTAGGCTGTTGTTGGGCAAGCCGTGACGCAGATGCGCTGAGTATCACCATGTCATGCGGCGATGTGCGGAACGGCATTACTCCGCCGTGTCCCGCGCCGGGATTCCGATGCCCGAGATGATTCACAAGCCGAGCAATTCCCAGTCTGTTTTGCCCTCTCCTATGAGCTGGTATCAATATGACGACGAATTCGACTACCGCCACTTCATCATTGGCTGACATGTGTCAAACAAGTCACGGTTTGATCTTGGACTCAACCTTACAGATATGGTCTCGCTCCAGCCGTCACGGCGGCATATATTTCCAGATTCGGAGTAGACGAACCTGCCTGGGTCAATGGGTTTCCATGGCAGACATGATCACGGCGAGGCTGTGGCGATATGCATCTCGGACGAGGCGTCAATCGCATTCAGGCGAACCAATTCATGCCCAGTCACCAAGATTCCACTCACCGTTTTATCATTCCCCATCTCCAACACAGCCTCTCAGCCCCCTTCACCACGTCTACAAGTCCACCAACATGAGTCCGCAGAATACATGCCCAGCCATCACCATCACCAAGCCCAACAGCAAGAGCAAGGGAAAACCAGCAGCGCTGCACGCGCGCCCCATCAGCTTCCCACTCACAGACACCGAGTCAGACGGCGGCATATCGACACCATGGATCCCCGTAGCTGCCAAGATTCACTCTAGCCTCTGAAGCGACACGCCCGAGATCCAAGACCAGGCAGACAGCCTCATCTCCGCGTATACCGAGGACCTAGTCTTTGTTACGACGCCCATCTTGCTGTATGTGAGCCCGCTCCAAGAATCCGGTGACTATGCCTCTAACGAACACGTTTCCATGCCATGCGGAACTTCTGAACGTCTTCCACAGCCGCAAGATAACCAACCAACATAAAGCTCCTATTCCGGCTGGACCTGAACTCCAAGGTTGCACAAAACGGCCAAGAGGCCTTTGGTCAGTATAAGCGCGAGACAGAGTAGTACTGGCGCGTGTTTATGGACTTAGGGATGCCGGTTGTGGACGGGTACACGGCGCCGCGATGGATAAGGGATATCGAGAGGGACACGGGGTTGGAGCCGTGTGTGATGGTGAGGATGCACGGCCGAAGACAGACGTTTTTAAAAATTTCCTGGACAAGCCCATACCGGTGTCCGGGATTGAGAGTATTTTGAGGGCCGAGAAGGAGAAGGAGCTGCGCCGGGTTCGCCATGCTAGGTATGTCTAGGTCAAGAGTCAAGACAGTTGGCATGCGATGATGGCACATGGCATTGGGCGGCGAGATTTGAAACTAGTCGAAGACATATTAGCCCCCTACGGAGATTTAAACTATAGTACAGTTCCGTTTTCTTATTTTTAAGACATTCGGTGGAGATATTTCCCTTCTGGCATTTGCAATGTCGTCTTCAATCCGCCATGAGTGACAAGAAAAAAAGGGGGGATTTGGCTATTTCTTCTCTTCGCCCTCAAATACATTCAACCCCAAACCATCCGCATCAAGCATTAGCCTGTTCTTTGAACCGGACTCCTGAAGCTGCTGCGCAATCAAACGGGCATTCTCGATCTTCTTGAGCTCCACGTAGGCCTTGCTCTTCTTGATGGCTTCGCCAATGAGCTCAGCGGAGCGAGCTTCACCCTGCGCCTTGACAACCATGGCCTGCTTCTCCTGTCTAGCCTTGTCTACAACAAAGGCGGCTCGCTGCGCTTCCTGCTGGGCGACTTGCTTGGCTTCGACGGCGGCGGTGAATTCGGGAGAAAAGGCGAGGTGCTACAAAGGTGTCAGTCAGCGTCTTGGACTTTGCTCTCGCGAAGCCGGCCTTAAAGAGGAAAGAGGAGAGCAAATAAGAGTCAACTTGCCGTGAGGGACACATCGTCGAGGAGAATGTTGAATCGGGCAGCTCGCTTGGACAAGTTTTCTCGCACCAGCCTGGCCACCATCTCTCGCTGCGTAATGAGCTGACTGGCATTGAACTGAGCGACCACGCTCTTCAGTACCTCGTTCACAATCGAAGGCAGCACACGGTCGTCATAATCGGCTCCGAGGGTCCTGTAAATCTGCGGCAGGGCCTCGACCTGTGGTCTCGACAGCACACGGCAGGTAATGTTGACCATTTGCAGATCCTTGGTGCCCGTCAGGGAGGCGACGTTTCTAGGCTTTGCTCGCACATCGTATACAATGGGCGTTTCGAACCAGGGAATGTTGATGTGAGTACCTGGGCAATTTCCATTAGCTTCCGTTTCCACAGCCGTATCCGAGACAGCTCCTCCCGGGACAGTGGTCCTACCTTCGTTGTAAATCTCCTTGCTCACTCCGCTTATCCTCCTGTACTTGATGGCGCGATGGCCGCCGTCCACGTTGAAAAGCGAGTTCGACAATACCCAGGCACCGCCGGCCAGCAAAACACCCCCAATCAATGCACCACCAGCTCCTCGGGGAACTTGGGGCGGCCCGCCGCCAGGTCTGCCGCCGTATCCGCCGCGCGACTGCATCTGGCGCAGACGGCGCATGGCCTCTTCTTGCCAGTTATTCTGTCCGGACATGATTGATGAGGCTGATGGACCGTTGTTGTTTCGAGCCGTGAGGAATTGGCCAACAAGCTGCAAAAAAGTTGATGGTGGTCGTCACACGAGGTATGCCTGGGTCTGCCAGAGCTTGTAGAACTGGGGAAACTTGCTGACTGATCCGAAATTTTGGCGGCCCGTCAGGCGCTAGTACAGATCGGGAGGCTTCAACATGAACACGGAGAAAGGACCACCCTACACGAAGTTGCCAATCATACTTTTGACCGACAGCATCCCTGGATGTTGTCATTCTATCCTATTCCTTGCTTCTTTATGCTGGCATCCTCTTAACCTGATTCTTCCATCATTTTGAACTTGTTCGGGAACTCAGGCACGCTCCGATTGCATGCACCAAAATTTGACAAGCTTCATGTTGCAAGGACTCACTTAGATAGACTTCGATTTACGGACGATAGAAATCGCAGACCAGCCTCGTCTGGCACCGCCGATGACTGCACAACCTTTTGAAAAAGAGTACGCCTCGATTGTGCAGCATCCCTGCTCACGCTCTGCCAATTGCACGTTACATTCTAAAACTTATTCACGCAGAGACCAAATAACGAGGGAAAACGCTTAGCGGGTATCAAGAAGCAAACAAATTCTCACTGCGCAAATGCAATCTGGATCACATCGTGGCACCTCTTGGGTTTCCGCGCATACCCGTTGAGCATTCGAAAACCAGCCTTGCAGCTCCTCCCCTCCTCCATCACTGCGTGCACTCCGTCCAGACATTTGCCAGCTTCCCTCATCGCCGCTCCCGTCGTCACAGTATCAGCCAGGCGCATCTCACCCCCGACTTTTTCCATCTCACATCGGAGGAGCCATCGTTCCCAGTTCCATCCTCCAACGATGCTGCAGACATTGGCAATATTGTCACTGCTGCCCATGACCATGGCATCCATCTGACACACTTTCCCGCTCCTGATCGAGACGTCGTCCTTTAATGGTGGTGTTGGTGGCATGCTCATCTTCCTCTTGGCACCCATGGGGAGGCACACCCAAGCGCGGCGGACGTCATAAAATCCTGCGCGAGCCAGTCGGCCGAGCCACATCTTTGTTGGGCTTGGATCGTAACCGAGCGTCTTGAGTGTGAAGCCAAACTCTACACTCTTGGCACGACCAAGCGGCCCGGCATTGATGATATCCGAGTCCATGACGGAAAACTCCAAGTAGCCACCCGGTTTCAGCACCCGCATGCACTCGTGGAGGCAGCTCTCCCACTCATCCTCGCCGTTTTCGCCGACAAACTTGAGAATTCCATGAAGTTCGCGAGCAGAAATCAAGTCAAATTGGCCATCTGCGAATGGAAGCTTGGAAAGACGCTTTACCGCAACCTGGCGATGATTGGGAGGTCCGCGAATGTTGGAGTTTGAGAGCTGGCGAATGGCCTTGGTCGTCACGGTGTAAACCTTGGCGTTTGGATACTGAAGCGCACAGTGCCATGCCCAATCGCATGTTGACTGCCCACCAAGATCAAGAATCCTAGCGCGGTCGCGACCAGCGCTGTCTCTGCCTGGAGCAGCTATATGCGAAAGTCGAGCCAATCTTTTCGTCACTGGTGCCGTGATGAGGCGACCGCCGTTGAGGAATTTGAGGGCAGCCACATGCCAGGCTGGGATGGTCATTTGATTCATGGCCTCCAGCTCCTTCTCCCTGCGCAGCTTGTCAGGGTCGTCAGTCAGGATGTCGTCGCCTCGAGCAACGTTGGCGCTGAGTCGCTTCTTGGCTGACTGAGGAACGACGCTGAGCTGATACTTGCCTAGGAGCTGGTTGCGATGAGTCTCGCGCAATGCAGTGCGCTGAGCCTGGACTGCCTCGAAGCGAGAAAGCTGTTGAACAAATACATCTTGAAGGCGCGTGCGTACAATGTAGTCCTGGAAGGCTCGGTAGTATGCTGATTCCTGTCGCAGCAAACCGGAAGGCAGACGCTTGGGTTCCAGGGTTGTTGGAATGACATTGGAGAACCTAACAACCTTTTTCTTGATTTCTGCTCCTTGCTCGGGCTCAGATTTCGGCTTGACTTTCTCGTCCTCCTTGTCATCCTCCTCTTCAGGTGACTCTTTAATACTTTTGAGAACAGCATTGTTGTCGGGCTCTTCGTCCACGCCCTTGAGGTAAGCCCTCTGTGCCATTAGCCACAGCTCCGTGCGATCCAAGTTGGACAAGGCTTCTTGTTGCTGCTTTCTGGCATAGTCAGGATCGTAGTCGACGACAATCTCAACTGGCGCCTCCTCAACAATCTTGGCAGCAGTCTCCCCAGAATCGTTGGAATCCTGATGTGAAATCACGAGCCTAGCGGTAGGCATGCCCTCTGTCATATCGTCATCATCTTGAACTTGAATGACCTGCTCAACAGGTTCTGATGATAGGCCGACGGCCCTATAGAATGCCTCTGCAGAATCGGGACGCTTTGGCAATGGGGGAACAGAAGAATCATCAACATTCCAGGGACATCGGTAAAATTGCTCAGCAGTGGTTGAGGTCGGCGGCGGCATGTCCACTGGTGACTTGCTGGGCAGATGCCAAGTATTTCTGGTTTGAGGAGACAGTCCAGAAAAGAACCCGCCAGGAGAGGGAATACTCAGTCTTGTTAAGCTGGCAAGAGATTGTCGGGTGGGAGTTGGCGAATGGATTCTATCCTGAGCCGCCCGAGGTGCGAAGCTGGTTACCAAGCGCAAAGGTTGCTGTTGCATCTCAGTGACTGGGCGCATGGAAACGTCGAGTACCTGCACCGGGCGTTCGAACAACTCTTGCCCCTCTCCGTCGTCTCCCCCAGACAGAGCCTGTAGTGTGGCGAGCGCGCCGGGTTGAAGGTGGACGCCGGCCCATGCCTCTTCTGTTTTGTGTTCGTCGTTTCCAATCACAGGTGTTGCTGGTGCACTCAATGCGGCGAGCTGCTCGGACGACAGGCTGCCGTCGAGAGACGGCGGCGCGGAAATGGTTGGCACTTCGAGCGCTTGCTGCTTCCCGATAAAGTTCATCTGAGCCGGAGACATGGGCAGCTTTGCCAATGGAGTCAGCGGCACTGGCGATGTGATTTTCTTGAGTTCCTCGACTGCAGACCAAGACTCTTCGGGTTCATCTCGATTTGCTGGGATTTGAAGACGAGTGAGCTGTTTCGATAATGACTGGTGATGGTTTGTGGCTCGGCCAACAGACGATCGCTTATAGCGCCGCGACATGTCATCCTCATCTTCCTCCTCGGACACATCATAGAGGTCCTCAAATTCAGTGTTCTCAGTGCCGATGCTGGCTCGATTCCACATGTTTGACGAAGTTGTAGGAGAAATACCATCTCCTGATACCGTGGACGGCGACGACGGAAGGATGGGAGCGGCAAGATAGTGAACTCCCTTTGGAGTGGGGAAATGATCGCTCATAGGTGACAACCAGGCCTCAATCTTTAGATGTGAAGCATCACCGCGTCTCCGTTGTTCGTTCACCCCTGTATTCTGAACATGGCCATCATCGCAATCTTCTTCTATTATGGGATTAAGTCGTCTCTTTGGCCTTCGACCCAGCGAAGGCTCATGAGACTGGGAACCACTCGGTGGCAAATGGAGAGTGTTAGCCATTTCTTCCCTTTTTTTTTCTGGTTTTGTTCCTTTATCAAGGGTTCCGTTATGCCCAGCTAACGGTTCGCGTCTTGGGCCAGGCCGACCTATTACCAACTCGTCTGTAATGGGATACCAAAAGAGAAATTGTAAATTATCGTAATGGTGAATATCAACGACCGGCGTCGAAAGTTGGAAGAAGCGGGGAAACGATAGGTTGCCTCGATCAACGAAGCGTCTACTGACTCTACAACAAACAAACTCCAATACAGAAAGGAAACGGGTGCAAGCGAAGATAATGTGAAGGGAAGAAATCCGGCCAACCCAGTTGGCCAGGGAATGCGAATCCTTAAAGGAACTCGTCCATCGACTTTGACCGAGCGGCTACGAGACATGAATGCAGATATTAGTGGCTAGCAAAGACGAACTGGGCGGGGCAATGCAGCACGGGCTGCAGTTGCGTTCGGCTGTCAAAAGAGAAAGTGACCATGACCGCATCGGCGCGTCGAGGGCAGCATCTCGTCGTGGTTGTGGGAATTAAGACGGTGACGATGCCATCCCAACGCCCGGCACGGGACTGCCATCGAGCCACTAGCCCAACTAAACATCCAATCAACGAAGCTGGGGTGAATGTCTAATTACGGATTGCAGGGGAACATTGGGGGGCTTGGCCAGCCAAACAATATGCAGGCGCGCGCGCGAAGCGGTGATGTCTTTGGGAGCTGATTGGGCTCGTGGCTGCGGGGGGACGGTGAATATGGTGGCCCATCTGATCCTCGGCGCTTAGCACTGCTTCTTGGCCCCCAATCAATCCATCATTGGAGTGTGATGCATCCTGCCGAACAAGGTCTCGACGGGCGGTAGGCTTTTACGACCAGAGATTTTGACATCCAAAAAAACTGCAGGGACAGTATGAACATGATACAAGTGCGACGAGATTTGGCCGAAGTGGTGGCCATATGCACATAAAAGTTGACAGCAGTGATGAGTACCTAGGTAGGCAATCGGTAATTGAGCGATGACAGAAGGCCTGCGATGAGCAAAACAGGTCAGCCGGAGGTCAAGATGTGTAACGGGTGACTGGGAGTGAAATTTGTGCCTCAGGCTTGGAAGCATGAGCAAGCTTGTGAACTGCCAGCTGGTGACGGCTGGTGACAGCTAGTGCCGAGCCCCTCCATCGGCCAACTTACCTCTGGCAATTTTACCCCGCCAGATGCGCTACGAGAGCTCGAGATTTCACAAGAGCTCAAGCGCCTTCAACTCCAATTCACAAAAGGTTTGCAGTCATGGCAGACGTAGAACAGCCAGACGTCTCAGCCGAGCCTCAGGCCAGACATGTAACATACTGCGGTGGTAAGTTCCTTCCCATGTTGTCGTAACGTCGATGCATGCATGATTCACTGCTGACCAGACGTCATCAGTTTGTACACTGCCACCAGAGGTGCGTAACCGTCCAACTCCTTTTATCGTGCCTTGTTCCTCCGATAATAGAAACACCCAAATACGACTGGTGCGTTCTAACAATATCTAAAATAGTACTGTGAATATGGAGGAACCGTAAAAAAGTGCCAAGAATGGCTGGAAAAGAACAACAAGGAATTGTATGACAGAATCTGGTCAGCCGGTCAGTATGCAATGTTTCCCGCAGTGGTGACCAAATACCTGACGCGTATTTTTGGACAGAGGCGTTAGAAGCTGCAACCGCATCCTTATCCGTCGAAGCGCAAAAGAGAGCGGCCAAAGACGCACAGAAGAAGACTGCAAAGGCCGAGGCCGCCGAGGCGAAGCAGGCCGATAAGATAGCCAACAGCGTGGTTACCATTAAGCGCATTGAGCGGAATAAGAAGAAATTTGTCACGGCGGTCATTGGACTGGAGGCGTTTGGTCTGGAACTGAAAAAGGTGTGCTCTTCAAAGGTGTCCTGATGTGGTCGGTGCTAATAATATCAGGTGGCCAAAGATCTCGGCAAAAAGTTCGCCACTGGCTCGTCAGTGACCAAGATCCCCAGTGGGGGCGAAGAAATCGTGGTGCAGGGCGATGTTAGCGACGAGTTGGAGGAGTTCATCTTGGAGAAGTACAAGGAGATACCCGCGGACAACATCGAGCTTGTGGATGACAAGAAGAAGAAGAAGGCAGCGACATAATTTTGCCAAGTAACATTTCGCATGGTCTGATTGACTATGAACCTTGGCCTTTGCATTACATCCCCCCAATTAACGCCAGTGCAATGTCCCAAATTGAACCCGTATCCAATCCCAATTTACGCCAAGTGTTAACGCCCGTGTCAAAGTTCCAGAAAAAAAGTAGGACAAGACATCGATTTTCGTTAAGCCTCATACCAGCGAACTAACCTCGCTTGCGCAACACCCTACCACTCGCGGCTGTTGTGGCTGTGGGTGCCGCTGCTTTTGCCGCTGCTCTCTTCGTCGTAGCACCGGTAACCCCCTTTCGAATAGTTCCCATGACAGTGGTACGCGTGACTGCTCGTGCAGCCTTTTTGGACGTGGTCGGTTTTCTGACTACAGTTCCGGCACTTCCCTCACTGGTGTCACTCGTCTCACTAGGACGACGGCCAGTTCGGGTTACCGGCCGAGAAACAGGTGCTCTTGAGGCTGTGGCAGTCGCAGGACGTCGTGTCTTTGCAGCAGTTGTTGACGTGGAGCTTGCTTCTGAAGTCGTAGTGACCTTTCTGGCCCCTCTAGTACGCGTAGCCTTGGCCTTTTCCACCATGCTGGAGAGAACACTCGTGGCGGCGGCACGCGAGGCGGCGGTGGATTTCAACGGAGAGCCGGGTCGAGGGATTTGCGGCTTCGCCGGAGAAGCAGGCCGATCTCGATTTGCAAGGCGAGAGTTGGATGTAGTCGGGGACAGGATCTGGTTTGGCCTAACACGCCCCGTCTCTGTTCTAGTTCGCTTCTTCGCGCCATCCCTGTTTTCAACGTCGTTTTCCTTGTCTCCTGCAATCTCATTGCTGAGCAAATATTAGCATGTTGTACTGTATTATTTATTTGGCCTCACGTCGAGTGTTATTACCTCATGCCCTTATAGCGGCGGCCTACAGCTTGGTTGCGAGCTGGCAGCGTCCTCTGTGGGCTCGACCGAGGTGTGTCTTTGGCGGGCACTGGAGGCCTGGAAACGACCCGGCCCTGATCCCGTTGGGAGCATTTCAAAAGCAAGTCACCCATTGTCAACTTTCGCAGAGACATGGGGATTCTGTTTATCCGTATTTCAATTCGTGATCGTAGTCCCTGTGCTTGAAGCTGGTATTGGGCGCGAAGCCGTCTGGCGCGTTCAGTGACTAGCAACTCAGTACACATGCCAAGTATCCAACAAATTTTGGGAGATAACTACCCTCTAGTTGAAGATTATCAATCAACGCCTGTTTCTGCAGAGCGCTAATTCCCATCCTGCGCTTCTTGATTGGGCTTTTATCGTGAGGCGTTGATGGGCTTTTGATGGGCACTTTGGTGTCTGTAGCTGCGCCTTGCCTCCTTGGGGCGGTGGATTGGTCGGATACCCTCTTCTTATTTCTGACGGGAGCCATTTTTTCGTCGCCAGAGCTGTTGAATTATCTCAAGGTTTGTATTTTGGTGCAGATTGCGAGATCATTGGCTTGAGGTGAGGTGTCGCAGCTTGGGCCATGGCGCGCTGTGACTGGTCAGTGGTGTTGAAGTAAACAAACGGGGATGTGTGTGGCTGCATTATGTCAGCACATTTACGAGGGCGTCGCCATTCAATGAACGGGGGTCCAAGTACCTGAAAATGGCACTCTGCATGCTGACAGGTGAGGTACTGGTACTTGCCAGCAGGCTGAACCGCCTTACGCCTCTAGGATGAGCCACACCTCGTGGAGCTTCTTCCCAGTGCCTCGCTTCTACTACTTCCTCTTCATCATTACCCGTGTGACTCTATAATCGCCACCAAGGAGCTGAACGCCTCTCTCTTTTCCAACATTATTTACACGGTCGCCGTAAATTACGAATTAGCTCCAGGTTCCGGTGCAGCAACAAGATGGTTCTCGAGGCGGTGATGGTTGTCGTAGACAACAGCGAGAGCAGCAGAAACGGAGACTACCAGCCGACGAGATTCGATTCACAAGTTGACGCCGTCAATGTTCTTTTCCAGAGTATTACCCAGGGCAACCCTGAGTCTTCAGTTGGCCTGATGAGCATGGGAGGCAAGGGTCCCGAAGTGCTCGTCACTCTCACCACTGAGCAGGGCAAGATATTGGAGGGTCTGCATCGGACAAAGAAGAAGATTGGCGGGTCGTCCCATCTCAAGACTGGCATCCAAGTTGCTACGGTTTGTTTAGATTCATCGTCGTTATTTGTACGTATACACAGCTAATCAATTGATAGCTTGCTCTGAAGCACCGACAAAATCGAGCCCAGCGACAGCGAATAATAGTCTTTATTTGCTCCCCAGTCGAAGAGAGCGACAAGGAGCTGATACCGTTGGCCAGAAAGATGAAGAAGCTCAACATTTCTGTAGATTTCATCCTGTTTGGAGATCTCGACGACGACGGCACGCAGAAGAAGCTGCAGATTTTCAACGATGAGGTCAAGGGCAGCGAGGGTTCGCACTTCGTCGTCATTCCACCTAGTAGTAAGTTGCTGAGCGACCAACTTGTGGCCACCCCGATATTACTTGGCGAGGGTGCTTCAGGATCTGGCGGCGGTGGCGGCGGCGGTATGGGCGGAGGCAACGAGGAGTTTGAATTTGGTTTTGACCCCGCCATGGAACCCGAGCTTGCCCTTGCTTTGCGAATGAGTATGGAGGAGGAGAAGGCCAGGCAAGAAAAGATAGCCCGCGAGGAGGAGGAAGCTGCCAAAAAGGCATCACTTGAGAGTGTCAAGGAAGAGGATGAGTCTGGTCCATCTGGTAGCGGAGACAAAAAGGACGGCGGAGACAAGATGGACACGTCGTAGGAGAGCACCGCATACGGTACACGCAGGCAAGCCTGTGCGGAGTGGCTTCTCCTCGAAGCTGTACAATAGAACTAGAGTCTTAGAGATGAATTTAGGACTGGACTTTGGCGACGCGTACAAGTAGCAGTGCAGGGTTATGAAATCGTTGCAATGGAGGGGACGGAACACACCATTCCTTGACGGACCTCTATTACCGATTATTAATCTCTCTAATGTATGACAGTAATTTCCGATCAAAAATATCACACCGTATAGGCATCTCCAAGGAATAAAACGGATTTTTCATAACATAGTCCGAATACAAGTCGTATATCCTCCTAATCGTAACATCCACATTTGCCTGCGTAGAATCCGTAAACAAGAGGAACTTGGTCCCCGTCATGGTGTTGAAGCACTGCAATCGAAAGTTTTCTGTTTCCAGCACCTCCAGGCCCGAAGAGGGCTCTGGGCGGATTGCCACGCCGTTGGTGCCGGGATGGGGGGTGATGGGCTTAATGGGGTTGAGTCTGGCGGTGATGGCGTGGACACTGTGTATGTGAGCAGCGAAACCCTCAAGAGACTCTCTCCAAGGGGGAGAAATAAGAGCATTGGCAGAAATCAAAATGTGGGAGACGAACCCGTGAAAAGTACCGGCCAGGACCAGGTAATCGTTTGTACTAATCTTGTGCAGACCGCCGTCGTGGAAGGTCTTATTGTAGACTAAGCCACCGGCCTTGTTGATGATGATGAGGGCAAAGACAGTCCTAGCACGTGGTTAGAGATGCTCCAAAATGAGAGCATAGACTGGGCGTACATTGTATCGGGCGGCTATTGAGGGCCATCAAACTGTCAATGTCGTGTTTCTGGGCCGTTGTGAGGCTCATCCGCCGAGGCACAAGCATGAACCTCTCGGTGTTGTTGAGTAAGCGACGACGGATAGTGCTCGCGACGGCGTACGGGATTGAGTATTGTCGCCCGGATGAACAAAAACTAAATGATAGTAAAGGTCGGTTGTCTTTGCATCACGTGTCGCTCATGGAGTTGAGCGTCACCCATGTGCAAGTGAGTGTGTGTCGCTTGGGGCCCAGATGATGAGTGAGCAGCTCGCTCCATGTCGACTGTGGGACGTGTCAGGTCTGAGTTTGACTCCCGAGGCCGCTGCAAAGGCAACCAGCAGCCACGCGAGCACCGCCAAAGTGAGGCAGCAGCCCCACTCAATTACCGTCTGTTCTCGTTGCGCAGGCCAAGCTCGACCATTTGGTTGTAGCCGCCCAAGCAAACACACCCCCATCACCCAATCGCCGCCTGCTCAGCCAGCCTCATTGACCAGTGTCAGAAGGGCTGTCCATTCCATCCTTTTTTTTTTTGTCTTGTTTCCCGCTCCGTCGCGCAGCATCCCTACGAGCTCCGACCGCAACCCGCCCGTCGCGTACGATCCTGTCCCTCGCGCCGACGTCTCGAGCCTGCGCCTCTGCGTCTGTCGGCAAACCGTCACGAATCAATCGTCGTCGACGCGAGACTACCACATCGTCCCAAGGACGACCGACAATGTCAAACCAGCGGACTTCACGCCCCAAGCCTCCCCCTCCAGGCAACGAAGAAGCTTCAGCGACTTTGAACCTGGGAGAATTCCAAGACGTCGACACCTTGACTCTGTCAGAAGCAGCGCTCGTACTGAACGCGCTGGTTACCAAGCGCCGAAATGATCGCAAGAACATCAACGAGACCGAGTACGCTTCACAATACCGAAGCCGTATAGGACTATGAATGAGGCACTAACTGGTTAACCAGAATGCTAAACCAGACGCTCAACTATCTGGATCATTTCGCTCGGTTTACGCAAAAGGAAAACGTGGAAGCCGTCGAACGTCTGTTGAGCGCACATAAGGACCTGGCCAAGTTTGAGAGGGCGCAGCTGGGTACGCGTTTGCCAATTCTTCATGCCTGGTGTGTGATTGCTGACGCCGTGTAGGATCATTGTGCTGCGAAAATGCCGACGAAGCCAAGACCCTTATCCCGTCGCTCGCCGACAAGATCAAGGACGAGGATCTGCAAGATTTGCTCGACGAAATCTCCAAACTACAAAACCGATAATATGGTCGAGAAAGCTCAGGGATGAGTGGTGCTACGGGATTGATTTTGGAACAGGATTGTATTTGGGTTGATTTCCGTTAACGAGAAAAAAAAGAGAGAATCTGGGTTTTTACATTTAGCATTTGTGGCGCTGGGTCAAGATTTGTATTTTCGCAACAGACAAGGAGAAGATGGGACTCGGGAGATGGGTACTTTCATGTAGAACACCCGATAAATTTGACGAATTGAATACATTGGTCACCATGTGGTGGAATGGTATGTTTGTTGGTGATGGAACAGACAAGCAGACCCTCCGGCCAAGGTAAGTCAGCTCTCGTAATGACATGCCCTACAGTCGATGCAATTTTTCTAATCGTTCTCATGCAGTAACATTGTCTACGACCAATTATTAAGATATAGAAAATTCTAAACTAGGCATCAGAAATTACTGCGGCGCCACCAACACGCCACGATATCGCATCTTGCCCTCTCTCAACCTCGCCATCGCATCGACAACGCCATCTTTGGTCAGAGGGAACTTTTCAATCTGTGGCTTGATTCCCTTTTTGGCCGCAAACGCCAACATGGCCTGCTGTGTGCCGGCACTGGCCACGGCAGACCCGATAATCCGGATACCAGTCTTGATCAAGGTTTGAGGTGTGATTTGCATGGGCTCAGTGCTGACGGTCAGGGGATAAATTTGTGCCCTCGGGGCCAGGACGGGATAATATCTACACTGGTTAGCCCAACGCCTGAAGATGGCGGCATCACATGGACGACACTGCGGTACTCACGTGGACAGGTCTGGCAGCACACTGGAAGTAATCAGCAGAATATCGACCTTTTCGATACTCTCAGGCTTGGCCAAGTCAGCCGCCGTGTAAAACTCCGAGGCGCCAAATTTCAACGCCTCCTCCTTCTTGGACGTTGAGCTGGAGAAGACGACGGCCTCCATGCCCATCTTGGAAGCAAACTGGATGGCCAAATGACCGAGACCACCGACGCCGATGATACCAACTCGGTCTCCCGGCCTTGCACCAGACGTGTGCAGGGGACTGAAGACGGTTGCGCCGCCGCACATCAAAGGACCGGCATCCTCGGAGGCGATTGCATCGGGGATCTTGAACAGGGCGGAAACGTCCCACGCGACAGAGGAGCCGAAGCAGCCTTGGTCCTGGTTATCGGAGCCGAAGGACTTGGGAGATGTGCAGTTGCTCGAGGAGCCTGTGGTGTAGGCAGTCAGTATCATGTCGATTTCCCATGCACTTTTGTCGTCTCGGGGGCGCTTTACCAGTCAGGCAAGGCTTGCAGATGCCGCAGAACTTGTGAAACCACCCCATGCCCACGCGATCGCCGATTTTGAAGTTGGACACTTCATTCACGGTAGAGCCTAGCTCGGTGATGACTCCAATTCCCTCATGGCCAAGGCCTTGGTCCGCGTGGAGAAAGTGTTCGTCGGTGCCGCAAACGCCGCAGTGTGAGATTTTGACAATGACCTCGGTGGGACCCGGGTCTCGGTGGCCGATGGCTTCGACAATCTCCCCGGTCTTGGAGCCTTTAAATACAGTGAAGTCGACTCCCATGTTTTCTGTAGGTTATTACAGGAAGCGGTCAGAGGATGGTTGGTTGAGCAACTTTGTAAAATTGGAGTCAAGGTTGGATGGCATTTGGAGCTTGCTGATGGAGAGACGTTGTGAGGGTAGAGAAGTGGTTGGCTCATTAAATAGCCTGAAAGATAGGTCAAATTACATGGGAAAGACCCCCTCTTCTAATACACGGTCCATGTTCCGTTCGTTTTCTGTTCAGTAGCTTATTAAGCCCTTGCTCTGATGCCACTGCTGTGCGTTCCTGGACCCTGTTTTGCCTGGCAACCCGTGTGTAGGTTCAAATGTTGGTAGATGCTGGTGGGGAGGCTTGAAATGATCCACCTTTGACCGCACTCCACTTTGGCCCGCATGTTCCCACCTACCTGGTCAAACTCCGTAGAGCGCCCTGATTCATGTATCCAAAACTAATCAATCATTCGGCGCCACCGGAGATGGGTGGGTGTAAAGATTTAAAACCCCGAAAAAAAAAGGAAAAAGAAAAGGAAAAAAGAGGGGGAAGAAAAAAGAAAGAAAATCAAGCCTTGATATTTCTACCATGACGCAAGCACAATAAAAAATGGGATCCCACTTGGTTGATTACAGAGACTGACTGCAATATGTGCTCCCATGCAAATACTTATCGCCGAAATGCTATGCTTTCCCCCTAACGCCGATGCCACAAACAGCTCGCCGGAACAAAGAGACTGAATTTGCCGTCTTCAAACAACCTCTTCCGCTCTGCTCCGCGGACAAACAACCCCATCAACCTGCTCTACGCATCGTTTGCACCCCACAATAGTTAATTAATTGTTCAAACGGCTCATGCACTCTCCTCCGCGTCCTTCTATAAAACTCGGCAAAGTCCTTGTACGTCATGACCTCGTCTCGGTCCGGAGGCTGAAAACCACGCTCTTCACTCGAGTACCACAACCGCGAGTTGGTAGAGATAGGCAGCATGCACATGGCCTGTATCTCTGAGCACTGGCCGTACCTCGACATGGCGTACAGCGTGTACAGCTTGAACGCAATGTAGACTGTCCTCCGGATGCTTTCGGCGACGATCCACGCCGCCCATGTGCGAGGGCCACTGCGTAGCTCCGCGTTGGACAACTGCAGCAGCTTGAGCGCGTAGGAGCGGACCAGGTACTCTTGGCGTTCGGCGAGCATGCGCTCTCCGATCTGGCCGTAGAAGAGGCGGATGATTTGATACAGCACCACGGCCTGCAGCTTGTGCAGCTCCTCTTGCAGGGAGCCCGTCAGGGACGAGCTGAGGAGGGCGTCGACCTCTGAGTCGAGGACGCGGAAGAGCGTTTGGTGGCTGACCTGGTTCACCGACAGGGTGCCGGCGCAGATGCCAAAAGCTGCACGGAGCGGCTGTGGGAGCTTGTTGCCGGTGTAGAGGCCCTTGTGGATGAAGATTGTTTCTGCGCGCTGTGCAAAGTTCTGCGGACAGCCGCGGATCTGGTTGAATACCCAGTTCAATGATGTTGAAGATGCTATCGGCGGTAGCGTGCCCAGGCGGCCGATCCATCGCGGACTGCTGGGCGTCAGGGCCACAGAGCCTGTCGTGTCCGGCGATGAAGCATCGGCATGGCTGGATTTACGCTTCACTTGTCCGGTGGATTGAGTAGCAGCTGGTACGGTGGCAGTGGCATCGACGGCGATGCGCTCCCTGGGCAGCTGCGGTGGATACCTGTATTGGCAGCTCTTGTTGTTGCGCTCACAGCGAGTGCAGATTGGGTATGTGAGGTCACATTTTCGGCGGGAAGCGAAGCAGCTGTCGCACGATTGGCGCCGAATTGACATGTTGACGATTGAGGCATAGGTTGCCCGTCAGCTTTTTCGTGCAAGAATGTTGCGTCCCAGCCGGGATGTAGTAACTTATGGATCAAACGGAAAGTATGGTTCGAGTTGGTGATCGTTGGTAGTTGAATCGGAAGCTGCTGGCTGACAAATAGAATCGCGTGGTGGCGATCTTAGCTTGTGCCATGATTGACAGGCACCGACCGAATTGTAACTAGCTGGATTCCTGATCAGAACCCTGGCCATTGCTAACTTCGTGTTATTCCCGGTGTAAGCCAGCATCCAACTCCACACAAGATACTGTGAGCCCCGATTTGGCTTCACGTCAAGTCGAGCCAAGTCAAGTCATGCGGATGCTTTACAGGTTCTTGGGGAATCAAATTGGTCTTTGTTATTGTTTGATTTTCCCTGCATTTCCCGTTCTGTGCTATATATTCTGTCGAGTGAACCAACAATGCCATAGAGCCTAGTTTTAGTCAACCACCAATTCTCCCATAGGCACGCACCCTGGCTTTTACATTCCTTGCTCGTCAGCTTCTGCCATTGATCTGTACTGATTCCACTGATTCACATATTGCACGCGGCCCTGGGAGGAGCCCGAAGCGAGAGTGGCTCTAGGGTCGGTATCGGCTGAAGTAACGGGACTCACGACACCCAACGGCGATACCGCAGGACCTGGAACTTCCAAGATGCTAATGGCGGGCAATTCGACGGGAGCAATGCCCGTGCCGTCCATTTCAAAAGCCTCGCTGTTTGGAGGATCCGGGCCGTGAGGTTGATCGATTCGCCCTGCCTGGTCAGCAAAATTCCTCTCCTGCACTCTCTGATAAGATGCGAAACATAACTCACCTCCGAAAGGAGCAAATGGATCGGCGGCTCCCTCCATGCCGGTTGTATGTGGCGTCACCTTTTCGTACCCGTCGACTCGCGAGCCTCCAGTCGCATCCTCATCATTTACGCCTGAGCTTTGTCGCTCCCGTTTCCTTCGTTTTGACACCACCCAGATTATTACCACAAGAGCCAGAATAACTGCACCGCCAGCCGCTATTCCAGCAATAGCGCCTGGAGTCACCCCGACTTCATTACTGGACTCTCCATCTGGGTTCGTCGTCTGGCCGGGCTCGTTGCAGTCAGAGCAGGTGGTTCCCGGTGCTGTGCCAGTGCTCGTTTCGGGGATTGACGTCGTGGATGGCGGTGGTGCTTCGGAAAAGACGACTGTGTGCTTTGTGATGGTAACTATAGACGAATTTGGGATTGTATGAGTGATTCCGGAATCGGTTTTTGTTTCGCTCGGTGATGGGGAGGCTTTGGTTGTTCCATTAGGCTCGTCGGGCTCAAGGGTCTCGGTTTTTGGAGGACTGCTATTCGGAGAGCCCTTGTTTGATGAAGTTGATGATTCAAGTGGGGGATTTTCGTCGTCGTCCCGTTTTAGTAGACCGTCAGGACAGTCGGGCAGCAAGCATGGATCTGTGGAGCAACATCCTTCAAATTTGTCGCTGCCACAGGCATAGAGATATGATCCCATTGAATATGGGGATTTGGCACCCCTATTTGTCGGTTGGTTTTGCATGAGCCTAAGTGTCAACTTGTAGGGGTTGAGCAGAGGAGACGCAGACTGGTGCAGGCAGAGGGGGCGCGAGAGCAGAAGCAAGTTCGCGTATTAAGTATTGTGCAGTGTGATCATCACTGAGCAGTTAGGTAAAGCCGGCTTCTGTGAGAAGCTCTGGCTGAATCTCTCCGCAGAAATATTGAAAGGACAAACGCATTGAAGAGTGGTGGGAACCGGCTGCCGGCTGGTTGCAGGTGAACGACCGGCTGGCAGTTACACGAGCAGCCAGTTGCCAGACTTTTTCTCTCACAAGGTGATTCCACAGAATTTTCGGCTCGCCAGTACTGAGATCCCATTGATTCAGAGTTGTCTAGTGAATTTTGGCGTTTCATGGCTTGTGGCTGTGGCCGAGGGGCCTTCGTGAGGTTGAACTCGAAGCTTGAGTTTCTGTTGGGATTTGAAAACAAAATTGCTCCTGTAAACCTGACTGCTATGTATCAAGGCAATTTTGCAGCATATTCCGCCTCATTCTCGATTTTGTCGTTGGACTAGATGCCTATAGTTCGAGCTTCATGCCATACTTGTCCGGGAACTCGTCGCCAGGCCTCATCGCGTGTCTGTGTCAGTGGGAGGGCAAACTCTGAAGAGAGGATGCCCGTGTTACGTTGAGTGCGTACGAGACGAGACCTCTTGTGGGCATGAATTCAGTGGGTGGATTGCTACTTTGAGGAAAGACATCTGGATGCGCTCCTCAACAAATCCCAACGGATACCACATTCGACAATAGCTGCTTGCTACGCGAAGCATCGATGCAAAAGCTGGCCGCCCCGCCCAGCCATCCTTTTCTCGAACCATCTCTTGATAAGGCGGAGAGTCAGAGTCCGACGACCTGTCTAGGGCTTGTCAAAGAGGCGCTTTAGCTTTGGATACATCATGTGGAGAAGCGACCACATGGACTGTTGATACAACTGCTTCGCAACTTGCCAGCTCGTTAGGAAAAAAAATCCGCCGGGCTGATCATACAAAGACCACATTCGTGAGATGGAAAGTGATGATGGCTTCCACATAGGTCTTTCTCGGTTCAAACAATTCATTATCAGTGTTTTGAAGAGGATATATCACGAGAGGCTAGCTGCCAGGTCACACCAGTAGAGGGTAGTACTGCTCGTCCTCGCCTCCCAGAAAGACGCCAACATTGACTGAACACGTTTTTGAAAGAGGAGAGAAAACATTGCAATCGATGACAAGGTCCGTAGGTATCTTGTCCTCCCCAACTCATCCGGGATTTCTGTACAAGCCACGATTAGGGGTAGATCCACGCACCGCGGAGCACGTCCTGTAATCTTGTGCGTCATCTGGATTTGTGACAGAATACTGGATGCCATTGCAGACGCTGCCAAATCCTCGATGCCGTATGGATAACGCAACCGGTGAATTACAAGCAACGCGGCAGTCTGCATGGTACTGGCCTGGCAGATCATGTGCGAAACCTCTGTGGCCGTAAACTCGCTCATCCGCCTGTCGTGTATTGAAGGCTGCCACCTCCTTATTTCTTCCTCGAGGCGGTTCAAGGTCTTGTCTTTATCAACTGGGTCTCCATGGGCCATCTCCGCAGAGATTTTGCAGATATGAAACAGGTACGGCAGAATATTTGCGCTCAATCCGATATACCGGCTGACGTACGATTCTGCCTGGTCTTTGGGCAGCTCGACGAGCAGGGTTGGCATCCTTGCGCACATCAAACACTCTGCTATCTCATTCAAAGAGATGGCTATCAGCAGGTCGGGATCGACTAGTTGCTTCCCGGCCTCATAATAGGGCTTGACCAGGCTTAGAATATGGTTGCATATTGGGAGCACATGCGTACCACCGAGCTTCAGAGCAAACGTGACCAGCGAGACGCCAAGGGCTAAGCATGGCTGGACGTGGTGCTCTACTCTGACGTCTAGAGAGCGCAGAGTCATAATGGCAGACGAGGCTCTCTTGTAGCACGTATCCAGCCAGGGATAGTGCGGCGATGTGGAAGGGTCGCGTAATCCCCATATCATGGCCAAGGCTATGTAGGCGTCTTCTACTGTAGATCGAGACATGTCATACTGGGACGCAAGCGTGTCTCGGTGCCTGCGACAGAAGCTGGGGCCTATAACGAATTCATCCAGATAGCCATCGCTGGTAAGAAGTTTGTTGACGTGCCATAGCTCCTCCTGGGAAATGCTCGAACCGGCGGAGCAAAGGCTACGGAGAGCGATGCGGGTTGCGGAATCGACCGTTGAACTTGTTGCGCTGCTTGCCCTTGGCTCTGTCTTAGCCAAGGTCCTGCTCTGAAGCCAACACTGAGACGGCCTCCCTAAACCATGCGGCTTTGGTGGGCGACCAGCTCGTTTGTGAGGCCGATTGCTTCGACAGTCGAGGTCGAGGCGGCTGCAACGACGGCATGGGCATGTCTCTGACGGGATGGGTCGCTCGCAGCGCTCCTTGAGGATGTGGCAGCGATCGCAGGATCGAGGGGGGTTTGGTTCACCCAACATTGGAGCACAGGACGATCTGGAATACGTTTCTGGAAGACGGCGAATGAAGGCAACGACATCGACCTTGGAGGCTTAGACACCAAGTGAAACGTGTTGCGGAGAAGACCCAGTATTGCCCGTCGACTCCGACTGAAGCAGTTCTTCAAGTGTCTTGAGACAACCAGACATTGAAGAGAATGTGACCAGACAGAAGTCTGGTCTAATCAACTACAGTTCCGAATTAATGACAAGGGGGTGGTTGGCTGGTTGATGGGCCGTATCCATTTTTGCTAGGTGTCAACCGTCATGAGGGGACTTGACTTAGCAAATGTCCAGCATCTGTCGAGTGCTTTAACCTGCACCATCTCGCTCAGGCATTTGCATCTCTTGCAACGACAAAGCCGTCCTTCACTTGCAGGCACTTGTCCACGACTCAGAAATATACAGGCACTTCTCGTCGGTCATTTTCGAGGTAGAGACCTGACCACAACACGGAATCTCCTTTCAGGTCCAGAGGATTATCTCTTGTTGACACGCACTGTCAGAGTCAAGAATTCCCTGGGTTGACGTCAAAACTCACAAGACGGAACAACCTGGCCTGGCTGCAGGTCTAGTCTTTCCGCAGCATCTGACTCCGTGACTCGTCCAAACGGGATGCTACACGCGGGACACTGTAGCACGAAGCCAGTCAGCAAGGTCATGGACCGGATGCGTTTGTTATCGGCGACAACGACAACATCAGCAAAAAGACGACGAATCACGTCCAGGAGATCCATGAGCACAGTGTAGGGCGGCAGCGTGAACTCGTCATGCTCAATCGCTGTGGTACGACCCCCCGGCCCAATGACTGCATCAGTTTCATACTTTTGCCAGAGCCTGCACCAGTCACTAATCAATTCTCGTCTTTTAAGGTTCAACCCGGATAGCTGCTTGAGGCCTGGGGTTACGCAAATCTGAGACGAACTCCTGTGGAGCTTTACCCATCTCTTGGTCAATTTGATGCGGGAGGGAACCGGTGGCTCGCCCGCAGCTTTTACAATTCCATCGGCGGTTTCGTCCAACGCAAACAGGGCAAAGGCCACCTGTAGCGCTTCAGAGATGCGACACTCGTCGGACTGCAGTTCAACCACTTCGTGCCCGCTTGCCTGGAGCAGACGCGAAGCCTCCGCAATTGTTCTCCGCACCGGAGGGTGCAAAGGATATGTCGAATCTTCAGGAAGCAGCCCAAACCGCAATTTACGTCCGAAGGGTCCCCGGATATCTCTCCAGTTGACATCCAGTGCGGAAGCATCATATAATGCAGGCTTTGCCGGTAGCACGGCTTTAACGAAAAGAGTGAGAGCCTTCGTATCGTTTGCGAGGGTTCCAGCACCAGGTAAAATTTGCGCCAGCCCTTCGTCTGCGCATCCCTGCTGTCCACCGTTTGGAATTCGAGAAGCCGTCGGACGAAAGCCGCACGTTCCACAGCAGAGTGCAGAAACACTAATAGACCCTGTCATGAGAACTTTGTCAAGCATCTTCTTTGCAGACATTCCTAATCAAAAAAGCCGAGAAAATAACATCCCCTCCGCCGAGGGGTTGGGTTGGTTGGTTTAGGCGTCACATACCCGCAGGATCAGTTCCAACACCGATGGGAGCGCCGCGCATGGCAATCAGAGCGCCCTCGCCTCCGCGGGATCCTCCGGCACTGAGACTAGTAGTCCAAGGATAAGCGTTCTGCCAAAGACAAAGTAGCGTGAATCTGGAATCTGTGAAGGAACATATTAGACGGGGAAGCACCGAAATGGCTTGGGGTTTTGCTAACCAACGTACCATCATCGTCTGAGGAACATGGGTTTTGCAATACAGCACGGCTCCGAGGGCAAGTAGGATATCAACAAGTGCCGAATTAGACTCGGCTCTATGGTCTAGATAGGCCGTAAGGCCCAGTGTCGACGCCATACCAGCAATCTGAAATGAATCCTTGAGGCTTATAAGAAGGCCGTGGAGAGGACCAACCAGTAGCCCTTTCTCCCTTTATCTGTCTAGGTACCGTGCTCGTTCTAACGCTCGATGGAAGAAAATCTCGGTAAGGCAGTTCGTCTGCTCGTGTTACTAAGCCTTGGCTACGAACCGGTAGAAATAAGTCTGCGCAGCGATTGAGAGGCTCCCACTTACAAGCTGATGAGCCACCGCAGCCCGTTTACAGAAGGAGACTGTCACCTCTTCAGCAGTTAACTGGCCTGATGCGAGTGCTTCCAGCAGACTAGTAACATCGCTTGATTCTGTAATCTGCACCTCGTCGGTCAAAATTCCAGATTGGCGCGATGAAATTAAGCTCCAGGAGATTATTTTTAGATTTCTCCAACGGTGTTTTGAGGCCACCCTGGAGATTTTGATGGAGCCTCCATGCCTCTGGAATAGCCTCGTTACGCTGCTGACGCTTCTTGATCGCCCCGGCTTCCCAGGGGTAAGTGGGTAAGCTTTCATCGGTGACAGTCATGTTCGCAGATGTTTTTTTTTTCGGCGTTGGACGAGAAGAAAGGGCAGGAATGTGAAGGAGTCGGAAAAGTCTTGCGATAGGGTTCTCTCTCAGACTTTTTATATGTGACGGTATGGGAGTACAGGCTGCCGAGACGAAGGACCCAACTACCTCGGTGAAGCAGACCGGTGGTTCGTGGAATTTCGGCAAGGATCAGCATTAACCTAACCACTTTCTGGAGTCTTCTCACACTCAAGGCAGGGGTGGTACAATCCCAAGGCAGCATACAATTGCTGGAGTCTAACCTGTGGGTTTGTCTCTTTTCAGCAAGAACAAGTTTTTTTTTTTTTTTTTTTTTTTTTTTTTTTTTTTTTTTTTTTTTTTTTTTTTTTTTTTTTTTTTTTTTTTTTTTTTTTTTTTTTTTTTTTTTTTTTTTTTTTTTTTTTTTTTTTTTTTGGCTCAAAAACAACTGAAATTGCCTTCCGGTGATCAGCCTTGCCAGGTCCTATAGCTCTTCTACCAGCACATCACACCGTCTTCCACACTCTGGTTGGACATGTGCAATGTTCCAATCGGCCTAACGGATAACTACAAGGCTGACAAGCATGCTGACTTTAATTCAGGTAGCGTTGTCGGCCACCGACGTTGAAGCCCCAAATGCAAGAATAATCAAAGAACCATGGATTTCATCTGCGTGGAGAGTCCGAGAGGTGCGGGGTCACAAGGGGCCTGGTAACTTCCCGGTTCACCTGTAGCACTTATTGGCCACTGCCAGAGGATACGACCAATACATTATCAAGCAGTGTCCATATCCATCCAATATTGATTGGATCTATGGAGATGCTGCTGTCCGGGAAGCAGAATTCTCCACCCGCGACCCCTTGAAGTGGAAGGTTGGCTTACAAAGTAGTTTTTCGTTACTGGCCGCTGGGTTCCGTCTTACAAGGACCTCTGAATCAAGATCGATTCAAGTTTTAGGTACCAGATTTCTCGCTGCTCTCCGGTTGATTCCTGACCATCCTTAGGCCTCAAGGCAGTCGAAGGGGTACATAACAGACGGCCTGATAGTGCAGCATTTTACTTTGATTCTGCTACTACTGAGGGATTTTTGCACGAAATGACCAACCCGACGGTCTTCCAAGGTCGAGTCCTCGTCGACGGTGCGGATCTCGAAGGTTCCAGCGCTCGGAACACTTACATCATTACGGACAACTAACGAATCATTCTTGTAGGAAGTAAAGGTGACGCGGCCGTATAGCGCGCCATGCCGGACGACGCGGAGATTGTGAGTTTGAACAAATGGTGTCATCGTACCGGGCTTCATCGGTGGCCGCGTCCATCCTCATGTTTGGCTTCTCTGAGCAAAAGCTCAACTTGACGGGCTGCACCTCTTTAAAACAAATTCGTCATGCTATCGCCGAGTATTCTAGCAAAAAGCCTGGACTTACACCGGATTGAGCTTTGAATAGCTTCAATTCTTCACGGGCGTCTTAGCAATCGAATGTGTGTGCTGGGAAAATTGAATTAGCGACCCATTTACATTGAATGACAATATTTACAATCTATCTGGTTCAACACGCCGGCTCCAAAATGGTGCTCATATCCAAGATGAAAGAAGTTTGTACAGAGTTCATATCCATGGATGGAATCGGGAACCCAATAGGCCTGTTGGCAGAGATCGTCGTCGACCCCATTGTGTGGTCGTTTATGGCAAAAGTTGCTACAAATAAGGCAAAACAAGCGGCCTTGGATGAAGCCTTTCAATTTTTACATCTCGGCCGGATGTACAGGTGTTATCGATGCCTGGGGAGCCATTGAACTGCGCCGACGGACGATGGGAATCATATTCCCCATTGGTGCCTATTGGTTTATACCATCCAACCGTGGCATTATAGGGCCGGAACAAATGTGGAGGTGGCCAGTTCCATGCACCGCTGCTGGCAGGTTTCGAAATCGCTCGGCTTTGCATATGAATGTGTTCGACGGTATCATGTATCTCTTAATTTAAGGTATATGATTGGGTTAGTATCCTTGCTCGCTACAAAATCGGCACGTTCGAACACTCAAAGGGATGAAACGCTACGCATCGTCGTTGAGAATGCGATCAGCGTTGGAATGCAGTGCGCCATAACACATGGCACCGGGCAGGTCGCCATTACCAGTATCATCGACATGATTGCTGCGGCGAAGGACCCATATGAGACACACATCGCATAGAGCAACTGGAGCTTGCAAGCCAGGATGACTCCAAGCGTCTCGGCGCTCTGGGCATCACTGCTTCCATCCAGCCCGTACATCGCGGTCCCATAGTTATTAAGGGACACTCGCAGCTGATATCGTCACAAGATTGGGAGCACGCCTTCTTTCTCTATCAAGAGCTCCTAGACGGCAATGCCTGCGTCGCCGTCGGGACCGACTCTCCCACGGCAAAGCACCAAGCGTTCCCCAAATTTTACAACCCTACAACAAGACCATCTGCCCTAAATCTCGCTGAACCTGCGCACAAGTTGTCAAACATGCTGTGCAGGAAGGGGCTGGGGGGGTTGTTTGAGTTAAAAGTTGAACGTTTGATGGCCCTGGACGGTGGACCCTTGTTTCAACCTCAGAATCCATCGCTGTATTTATCTTGGGAGATCTCATATAATATTCAACAACATGAGCGCTGTTCTCACGGATCATTTTACGCTCAATTTGGTTGCCCATCATGATGTTGGGCCTCACATCGAATATTCCTCGCGAGTTCTAACTTGTAACGCCGTCGCGGTTGAGGGGGGTGGGTCCGGAAGAAGAGCATGAAGCATTCCGAGGACCATGAATGAATCCTCAATACAGATCCCTGTGGATCACTGCCGACTTCCCCAGGTTACTTAGCTTGGCAAACTTGGGACACGGCAGAGCGGCGACGAATAACTTCTTTGGCCCCGCACAGCCATCCAATATTCATCATACCAAGGGCGCCACTTTACTCGCTTCGGTAATGCTGGACAGCATCGTAAGCTGTGGGTGGCTGCAAGGCTATCCGTTTCAAGATAGTACAGCCATGCCCAGAGATAGCCAATCTTTCACAAGATAATGGCTGGCGTCCACGGGGCCGGGGGTCCCCCTCCCTTCCCGCAAAGAGGTGATAAGGTAACAAATTAATCTCACCTGGGTCTATTGGTGCGGTTCCCAGATTTCCGACTTCCGAATAGGAGAAGCCGTGGCTGGGGAAAGATAGTGGAAATACGGAGTACCCCAAGTTTTGGTCGTCAAGGGCGAAACGTGGAGTGCTAGGAAGAGAGCACCAGACGCAGATATAAGTGCACAGTCGATGCAAACTTGAACTTCACCCGCCGTTGACCGGATGCCTCTGACATGGAGAGCTGAATTGCGAAGGAACAAGCAGCAACTACCAGTTCCGTCATTTCAGAGTCTCCTCCCTCCTCCAGCATCCTACAAATTCATCACTTTGGTCCGTCTATTCGTCATTGAACCACGCGGCTAGTATCTCGAAGATGAGTCAGTTCCAAGATGGAACGAATCCATCCGGTCACGGCCGGGATGATCCATTCTGGGCCCCTGGAACCGTCAATCTTAACGAATGTATGCGCTCTTGAGTATCCTTCAAGTGTTCCCGCGGGATGCAACGGCGCTAATGGAATAATCTGCAGTGAACGAGTCTGGCACGGGGGTTATTCTTCATCCAATCCCAACCTCTGATCCGAATGATCCTCTGAATTGGTCTACGTGGCGGAAGGCGGTCAATTTTACCATCGTATCCTTCTATGTCCTCATGACTTTTGTTCTGCTCGACATCTCATTCACGGCGTGGGGGGCATATGAAGAAGAGCTAGGCTTCTCCATCGGCGTGTTGAATGCTGGTGCAGCCTTCAACTATTCTGGCTTGGCTGTCGGGTGTTTCATCTTCGTTCCTCTAGTACAGAAGTATGGACGGCGCCCGTTTTATATTCTCAGCACCTCAGTCCAAGTCGCGGCCAGTATCTGGGCCGCCCGGACGCAAACCAAGGCAGATTTTTGGATCAGCAACTTATTTGCCGGGCTCGGGGGCGCTATCAGTGAGTCCATTGTGCAAATTACTATTGCCGACCTTTTCTTCGTCCACCACCACGCCGTCATGAACGGCTGCTATCTTTTTACCGTTGCCACTGGGGCATTCCTCGGCCCAGTGGCCGCAGGATACGTGGTTCAAAGTCAGGGTTGGAGATGGATATGGTGGTGGTGTACGATTCTGCTCGGCGTAGGCCTGGTGTTCATCCTCTTCTTCTTCGAGGAGTCCAAGTACTTACCCGCCATAGAGGGACACGCTGAGTCCCCAAACCCTGCCACTCTTGAAAAACAGCCCGGGCAGTATGGACCAGAGATCACGCCACAGGAGGTGCTGTCCTCTCCTCAAAAGGATATCGGCAAGCCAGTGGAGCGGACAAAATCAAACGTCGTCCTGGATGCCGCAATCCCCATGAAGCCCATAAGTAAACGCCTGGCGCTACTTACCAAAACAGAGGGCTCAATCTATGGCGATATATTACAGCCCTTCAGGCTACTGTTTACCTTTCCCGCTATAGCTTACACGGCTCTAACATATGCTGCAACCCTTGCCATGTTTGCTATTGTTACGTCTGTCCAGGCAACATATCTGCTGGAGCCGCCATACAACTTCACCTCCTCGGGCATAGGTCTTATGAGCGTTGCGCCGTTTATAGGAACCTTTCCTGGCATTTTTGTTGGCGGATATCTGAACGACAAGTCGATTGTATGGCTGTCCAAGAGGAATCATGGGGTTTACGAGCCGGAAATGCGGCTGTGGCTGGCGTTGCCCTCGGCTATCCTCATGCCTTCTAGTCTTCTCATGGTTGGATTGGGCATAGCATATGTAAGCGACCCAAAAGAAGAGAGAGCAGAAAACGGAAACGTTGAGCTGTGCAGGCAAAAACTCTAACGTATTGTCCTCACAGGGAACTCCCTGGCCGTTGATCGCAGTGGGCTTTGGCATCTTGGGCTTCAATTTGGGAGTCACGGGAAGCGTTGCGCTGTCTTATGCTATGGACTGTTATCACGATGTAAGTGGTTGCCATGATTACAGCAGCGGCTCAGCTACCACGTAAAACAACCAGGCTGACGGCGACGCAGATTATTGGCAGTGCCATGGTTGGCATCGTCTTCTCACGCAACGTGCTCTCTGTGGTTGTTCTTTTCACACTCACGCCTTGGATCAGTGGAATGGGCCTGAGGAACATGCATATTTTAGTGGCCATCCTTTGTTTTTTCATTTTGCTCATCCCTGCCATGCTGCTCGTATGGGGCAAGAAGGCGAGAATTGCTTTGGCAAATACGTACATGGCCATGGCACAGAAACAGCCTACTAGTCGCGATTTTTGAGCCCGCAGGATTGCCTACGAATCCTTGGATTGATTGCCTGGATTCCCACAAAGAACCAGATTCCTCTCCATAGAATAGCTCCTAGGTTGACAGTGCTGCCCTGAAGTGCTTCAAGGGGAATGCTTTGCTTCAATGTTGGGATCCTTGCCACGAGCAACTCGCCTCTCATACAATTACGGCAGGCTTCGCCTACGTCTTTTCCCCCCCCCTTCATCCCTCGTTACGCTCTAGCTAGGTCTATGCACATTTCAATCGATGCTTGTTTTTACGTGGAAGCTCTTGTATAGCCACCGTATTCACCTTTCTTCCACAATGTAACCGTCGCTTGCATTCATGTATTTGAAGTATGGTAAACGAGCTGTATCCTTACGGCCAAGCTGGCTGCGTGGAGGCGAATGGCTATCTTCTGGCTCGGCTCTGCCCGAACGTTGAGCCTGCATCCATCTCACCGCGCCACAGGCGGGAAGAAGCAGTTCTGAGCTCGATTAGCGTCTTGGTGCATGACCTGACCTAATGTATAACATGTGGTCCCCGGACAAAACCCGGTGTGCAGCGTGACGGTAAAATCTCAGCCGGGTTATGGACATGCACTCAATTCAAGGGATGGCTCGCCCCTTTGTCGACGTGGAAGTCTCACCTCTATTAGAGCCCTACTGTCGATGTGCTCGGGATGTAGGGACCTTGATCAAAGTCGGGAAATACAGGAGGCGCTCCTGCTGGTGGATTCTTTGGGAAGATTGTGCGAAACAAGCTGTGATGTGCCTAGTGGATGGTTCGGTACATCACTTGCCGTGTGCTCGAGCCGTTCAAGAGGTTAATGTGAAGGCTGAGTCACAACATTGAACACGGCAAGTCAGAGACCCCTTGGAGGCATCAAGTTACTTATGGAATGTCAGAAACTCGCCTGGTTTTTCTTGCCGAACGCACTCTAACTATTTACGGTTCGTGGCAGGATGTCTTTGCCCACCGACAAGTATACCCTAATATACCATGACGTATTTAATGTACAGCGCGGTAGCCAGGTACCTGATCTGGTCAAATACATGAGAGGTTCTAGCGTCGTCTATGCAGCCGTGTCTCATGTCCACGACATGGTCTCATTCATAACCCCCCCAGCCCGTGGTATCTCAACATGAAGTAAAAAATGTCATTAATTCATCCTCCGCGTGGAGCCAATTAAAATATCCGAGTATTACCCATCTCAATCATTGGCAATATTTGGGAAATTGCAATCCAAAGACAGCGTATTCCCAGAAGCCTAAAGGGACAAAGTTTGCGGACCATCTAAAGATTACACGTCGGGGTACGATTTTCCAGCAAATGGTCAAGAGATCAAGTGGCTTAATGATATGGGCAGCAACCGTCATGTGAGAAGGCTGTGGACAGAAACTTGCCTTCCGTACCTGGGCTGCAAAGAACCACAGTCACAAAGGCCAGAGGAAAGCACAATCTGCAGGCAGGGTCATGAGTGCGCTCTTCTCGACCATTAAAGGTAAATTATATGCATTGTTTCCTCTAGGTGCCAAGGCCGTCAGTGATGACCGCGGCTCTAAATGCTCTTACACCGACCAGAGTGTACAGGCCGCAGGTAGTTGGCACCTTTGCCCCGAACTAGTGTCTACATGCTATCCTGCCATGGAGTTTCGCCAGGTGCGCCTACCGAGGAGGGGGCCTCTTTGAAGCCCACATGGCAGATGTAGCGAAACACGCGCGGGAAATGGGTCAGAAGAAAATCTGTTGACAATATCGGAAGGTCATGTAAGCCCGATCCAACACATGCCCTTCCGTCGATCGGTCTGGTCCATCAGTAGTGAATTCGAAACTATTTCTCAACTAATGGAGCTGTAGCGAGCCTGTGGCAAACTTAGCTTCTGTATAGGTAGCACCAATTGAACGTGGTCTGGTCCACGTCGAAGGTATCGCGAGCCAAAGAGCGACAGACTCAACTTACTTTTGGGCCGGCCCATGTCTTGTCGTGGCCGCAGAGCCAAATTCAAGGGCTATTGCTGTTACGGCTTTGAGCCCGTTGACACTTGTAGGCTGGTATGCTAGACTGCCGAGCGCTCAAAACAACAGATCGGGCTTCAACGTCGCTAAGCCACGATCCGAGGCGGGCTTCCATGAGGCGTTGAGACTCTTCCTTGGATGGTTTGTTGCGAGTATCCGTTCTGTCAAGTGATAGGCATAAGCCCGGATGAAAATTATTCGAGAGAAATGAGAGACGTCATTACCTGTCTCCGGCACTGAGATTAACACTCATTGAGGCGGCCGGGTCTTGATCCATGTAATCCATGTAAAGGGTTGACTGAGGACGAGGGCCAAGCTGAAAAGATTGTCCAAGGTGAAGCTTGAAGCAAGGAGAGAAGCTGATTGTGCAGTATAATTCTTGGGAACAGCACATGGTGAGAAGGAAGGGTATCACGTATTTATATTCATTCTTGGATGGCAGGCTACGTGTAAGTCGACCTGGGTGAGAGTTTTTGGACACGTCGGCACCATGTACCAGGAAGCACCTTTTTGACCGCATGGGCTTGATATGAAGGCCTTGTCTTCTAGTCGGTAGTCCAAATGAGGCGTCGAGTTCAATAAGACCTGCATTGTTACGACATGGTGAACCTGGTTCGTGGGCAGAACGGCCTCGACAGAAAAACGGCTAAACACGACTACTCTTGGACAGCCATTGCGGGAAACAAGCCGCCTCGTGCATCACGATGCATCACGATCTTCCGGCGGCCATGTTCCGGGAGATCCCCTTTGGGTGTCAATCCAACAGGAAAGCTTGAATGTCACCTCGAGTCCCAGTGCCTGTCGTCGGAATTGGCTACTGAGTCCTGACCAAAGTCACTTGTGATGGCACAGGCCACAAATGCCATGTCGGGTCTGGTTCAATGCTGTGGGGCGAAAAAAAAAAAGAACCAGACGACTTGCAGACAGGAAATGGGGCTCCCAGCGTGGCTTCCTGTCTCGATCATGATTCACGGGACACAATGCCGGAAGGTCCACGTGCAGTCGATTGCATCAGGAGGCATTTGGCATTAAAATGGCATTTTCGACATCCGCGGTCCCACGGCGGCATGGCGGCACGGCTGCATCGTCCACGCACACAACGTTTCCGGCAATGTGGACCGGGCTTTCGTGCAGAGGCGACAAAGGCCAGAGACAACGCCCATCATCCTTGCTCAACTGGCGCGTTTACGCAAAGACGCAAAGGAATAAGAATCTCACGGCAAGCTGACACGGGGGCGTGGCAGAGGTGGAAAGTAAAGGACGTCTACACATGCCAATGCGACTTTGAACGTGGATGTAGGCGGCCAATCAGACAAACCATGGCAAAGTAGCCGGGCCAGCCAGTCCCTTCAGCTGCGCGATTCCGGCGCAGTTTGAATAGGTATCTTGAGACTCCTTGGGCGAGTAGACAAGCGGGAAGGGGTAAGAGGCAAGGGGCGAGAGAGACCAGAGAGACCAGAGAGACGAGAGACCACAGAGAACACGCGGAGGCCGGAGAGGCCAGAGAGTTGAGAGAAGAGACAAGGGAAGCGAGGCTGTGGCGCCTGTGACGAAGCTCAGAGACGACGCTGTGGTACGTTGGGGGGAGCAGCGATTACGTGTGCGCTTGAGAGCAAGTGTAGCCCTTTCAACCAACCCCTGGTCACGGTCGGCAAAATGAATCTGTATGTCATATACAAACCAGCAGGCAGCTACGAAAAAAGCTCAAGCTTGTGCGGTCAGCACCGAGGAACGCGGAACAAAGGGGACCGGGATTTTGCCAAACGTCACCCGTACACATGGAGACCATAGTTCTGTCTGTCCATGTACATGGGGCCAGATTTGAAGTCAACTGATTCTGCGCTTACGGGAGTACATCAGATACCCCGACTTTCCTTTATTTGATCACCAACAGGTCCAAACGCCAAATCATATTGCACAACTAAAAGCCATCCCAGCACTTTGGCTCCAACTTGATGCTTTCTATACACAGATTAAAGCAGAAAGAAAAAAAAAATAAAAACCACCCTGTCACAGCTTGTCTAGTAAGAGCTTGCTGCCTACATTACCAACCGGCGCATCGGGCCTCTTCTTACCCTTCTTTCCTCCCTTGTCCGTCTTCTCCTCTTGAGCATCCTTGGCCGCCTTCTGATCAGGTGTCATTTCTGTGGCGGCTTTTTCCAACACCTGCTTGTTCTTCTTGAGTGTCTTCCTCAACTCGTCAGTGCTGCTAAAGTCGTTGGATTCCAGGAGACCAACAACTACGAATGAGCTTGGTCCCGTGGCCCAGTCAACAATGTAGTCTTTTATAACAGGGTACAGTGTATCCGAAAAGTTGAGCGGGGGGTCCACAGGTATAATCTTTCCGGTCGCTTTGTCGAATCTGCCGCCTTGAATCAGGGACTTCAACATGCGGCCGCCAAAGGGTGTAGCTGAAATATGAGGAATAGCGTTGAGGTCGTCCTGGGCGGGCTGCTCCTTGGGGTCGCCAATAGCCGATTGCGCAATGGCTTCGAGGGCCTTGGTCTTGTCGCCAGTGCCCGAGAGAAGGACGTCGGTGATGAATTGACATCC